ATTATAAGCTGCAATAAATAATCTTGTACATGTGTCCTTTCATACACAGAGAATTTAAACTTTCTTTATGATCTTATATGTCTAGTTCTTTATTGTCTTCTTTGTTACGGAGCACTTATAATCTGATTAGTAACCTTATTTCACAAACAGAAATGGAATAGAAATTTGAAACCAATGCAAATAATTTTCTAAAGATTAGCGTGAGTCAGTCTTACATTGACATACTTTGGGTAGCTTTTTTTTTTTTTAAGATTTTATTTATTTATTTGACAGAGAGAGATCACAAGTAGGCAGAGAGGCAGGCAGAGAGAGAGAGAGAGGAGGAAGCAGGATCCCCGCTGAGCGATCAGGACCCGAGCTGAAGGCAGAGGCTTTAACCCACTGAGCCACCCAGGTGCCCCTTGGTAGCTTTTTTATTCTTCCATGTATTTCAGTTTTCTCAGTGCCTTGGGATTATTTCATTTTAGGAAGGTTTTATAGGCATTGGCTTACATCGTTCACTTATCTGATGTTAAGAATGAAAACATTTTGATGTCGGGGGTTGCTCTTTGCTATTACTATATTTAGTTTTCCATTATATTCTTGGAGTTAAAAAATGAAGTTTTAGGGCACCTGGGTGGCTCAGTGGGTTAAAGCCTCTGCCTTCGGCTCAGGTCATGATCCCCGGGTCCTGGGATCGAGCCCTGCATCAGGCTCTCTGCTCGGCAGGGAGCCTGCTTCCTCCTATCTCTCTGCCTGCCTCTCTGCCTACTCTTGTCAAATAAATAAATAAAATCTTTAAAAAAAAAAAAAGTTTTTTCCTAGATGCAAATATAAAAATAACTGACATATTAACAGATTGAAATTTGAACTTATTCTTTTTTTAAATTACTAAAATTAAATGTTTGTTGTAACAAAAAAATTAAACAGTATATGATTGTCTCTGTGTTATTGCTTTCCTAATCATCAATATGAGACAGTTTGAAGGTTAGCCTTCCAAATATTTATTACTGTGTAATACATTTTTGTATATACTTTAAAGAATACAAGTGTACTTTATATAGTATATAAACATGCTCTTTATTTAGAAATACAGCTTGAGGCATTATCCTAAAATGATAGGATTTAAAATGCAGTATATTTATTTCAGAAATGAATTGTCCCCTTGAAACATCAATGGATTTGTTCTAAGGGATTTCCAGTATATAAAGTCATATGCATCCTGCAGACTTTGTTGAATTACTTGTAATATGTCAAGATGACTATTTGTGTGGCCTACTTAATTTAATGTTTGCATTTATAGCAGATTGCCTTTTTGATTTGTGTTTCACAGTTGTTGAAAAGCTATGAAAAGTTTTTAAGAGAAAGGAGGAATGCAGAGCTCCTCCCCTTGTTTACAGTGCTAGTATTATAAATTTCTTATACTCTTAAAATTTGAACTTTAGTTTGTTCTACCAGTTACACATGAGAACATTCTTCTTGAAGACCCAGTCAGTCACAATAAAATAATATTCTTACTTGGCTTTAAGTTAAGTGACTTACTTAAAGGCTCACAGGCATGAGTAAATGGGAGCTGGGTGGACCATGAGAGGAGGTGCTGATAGATAAGTCTTTTTTCAGCATGCCACTTTTTGCACATATTGGGGGTGTTTTTTGGTAGGGTAGATGTTTAGATGTCCAGCTTAAGTTGATTTTGAGTGTTAGCTAATAGTGTTGTTAGTACATCTAAACATGTAAGTATATCTGTAGAAATAAAAGGGTTTTTTTGGTTAGGGATAAGAGAAAAATCTGTTGTTTTCCTTCCTATCTTAGCCAGTGTTCCTGATAATGAAAGTTTAGAATGGGAGCACTTAATCCCTTTTAGAATACACAGTATGCTACCTCTTGGGATAATCATCTTTTAGGAGACTGCTTATATTCAACCTGTACATGAAATCACTGGAGGAGAGCTAAAGGTTTTAGAATATGAAATGCTTACTAATTATACTTTGGTTTTTTGTGTGTTTCTATGTGTGTATTTTTGTGTTTCCTATTTTAGCCTTTCCTCATTACTTATTGGTGTTTGATTGTTGTGAGGCAGTTTGATGAACCATATATACTATTGTCACTGTCTTTCTCAGTCCATTATGTGAAAATACACAGTCTGTTACCCGCTCCTGTAGATATGGAACCTTAGCAAGTCATTTGAGTTCTGCTTTTTCTGTATTAAATTGAACAGCAATCCTTCAGAGTTCTGTACAATAACCTCTTGATACTCAATTCTAAAATTATTTGATTATATATTTGAATGTCTAATCAGAAAGTGGATTTGGATATCAAGAGATCTGCATTGCCTTAATGTATTGTTTCTGGTTCTGAATTTTGGGACGCAAATAGAGTTTGGATAGCAGGATATTTGTATAAAAAGTTAATCAAATTGATTCAGCTCCTGATTTAAAGATTGGAGAATTTAGACACAGAATCTGGGTAGGAAGGCACAATTGTATACGAATTCTATGCATTGAAAAAAGCTGTACACAGACATATGCTAGTATAGATCAAAATTGGAGGAGACGTTAATCGATCATTTTAACCAACCTCCTGTTGGATCCTTTCTTAAATGGTCTTCCAGTTTATGCTTGGCCCTTGAAATTGGTTAGAAGCTAACTGTGTTCTTTCTGGTTTATTGTTCTAAGTGTTAGAGGAGATCCTGGACAATGAGATCAGCCATAAAATGGGAATGGCTGAAAATATGTCTTGAAAAATTTGAAAAGTGCTATAATTTGATCGATAAAAAAGTACCTGTATTCTAGGAAAATAATATTCAGTGGGATATTAATGTTGTAATTAATGTTACTACTGTAATTATATTTATATGTATTTATATATTATATATAAATGTTTATATAAACATTTATGTATAATAATTAAAATTATAATTTTATTATTTGATTCTCTTATCGCCAGTTGTCTCTGTTGCCTGCAAAATTTCTGGTTATAGCATAAGGACCTTCTAAGAGAATGAATTAGGTTATTTATTTTCTTTTTTGAAAGCTCTTTCCTCTCCTCCTTTGGAAGGTTTGTAGTACTTTGATTTCATCTGAGCCAGAGCATTGTCCATTTCCTGTTTCCCATCCTTTTGCCTGCTTTGAACAGTGGTTTCAGCTTATCCACCTCTTTCTTCGTCATGCCCCCCAGTGCCTTCCAGGTTATTTCTGGATATTTAGCCTCTTTCTGGGCCATCCTTTTCCTTGCATTCATCTTTCAGTTTGATTTTTTGACAAAAGCATTATAGGATAGGACCTCCCTGGTGTGATTGGTTTGCGGAAGGAGGTTTCATATCCTGGGTTCTTCAGCATACTCCACATATAGCATAGACTGTGTGAGCTGATCTAGGTCACTCTTAAAGTTTTACGTAGTTTTGTTTAATATTGCCAGCTCTTCCTCAGAACCTTTGTATATATTTCCAAATTCTTGAATGTCTTCTCCAGTATGTCTCCCCAATCCCTGGCTTTGTTGAACATAGCCGAGTCCTTGTTCACTGTTGACTGAGTATTGTACACTATTCTCTAGTCTTAAAATGAAATAGACTTTCCTGAGGAACTAGAAGTGGTGATGTCTTCTTTGCCTACCCAGTCAGGGTGCACCTGTTGAGACGTGTTGCGGTAGTCATATTAGACAAAGTACAAGGCCTCCTAACAATGGTAAAGGTTGGCGAGGTTTCCTTGGACAGCTACAGCTGACCCATGCTGGGCAAGGTTTCGTATGGGCCACAGTTCAAAATGAAGACTTTTTGAGGGAAGGGAATTTCCTCAGCTATTCATATCTGTGCTGCAGAATCTTGAGCATACTAATGTTCCTTTCAAAGTTAAGTTTGAAGTTGGGAAGGGAAGGTAAAATTAAAATGTTATTCATTTAAAAAATAGTCTGCAGGGACGCCTGGGTGGCTCAGTTGGTTAAGTGGCTGCCTTCGGCTCAGGTCATGATCCCAGCGTCCTGGGATCGAGTCCCACATCGGGCTCCTTGCTCATCAGGGAGCCTGCTTCTCCCTCTGCCTCTGCCTGCCATTCTGTCTGCCTGTGCTTGCTCTCTCTCCCTCTCTCTCTCTCTGACAAATAAATAAAATAAATAAAATCTTAAAAAAAAATAGTCTGCAGTATTTTGTAAAAATATGTTTCTTTTTGTTGAGCTGGAGAAGGGAACAAAATTATGAAGGTAGACTTGGACAATTTGAAGTTAGAACCTCCTTAAAGGTCAAATTCTGCTGTGGCTTTTCCTTTGTAGAGAAATAAGTTCTTGTAACTTTGATTGGCTCTTGGTTAATTTATGAGTGGAAGTGTACTACATGTTTAGTCTATAGATGCATTTTTTTTTTAAGATTTTATTTATTTGTTTGATGGAGATCACAAGTAAGCAGAGTCAGGCAGAGGGGAGGGGTAACCAGGCTTCTGGCTGAGCAGAGAGCCTGATACGGGGCTCAATCCTAGGCCCCTGGGATCATGACCTGAGCCGAAGGCAGAGGCTTAACCCACTGAGCCACCCAGGCGCTCCTATAGATGCTTTTTTTTTTTTTTTTTTAATGTGGAACCATAATACAATCTGGTATAGCTGAGTTAAGTGTTTCCTTTTTAATTAGGGGACCTAAGAGCAAAGAACAACCAAAAAAGCATTCCATATTGATATCCAAGGGATTCCCTCACCCCCCCCCCATTTTTCTCTAATTGTTGATCTGGATTGTCTTTCTGTTTTAGTGAATATATGTACCAGTTACTTAGTAACGTCCATAGAAGACTAACAAAAAATTGTCACTTCAGTTCTTACCATGAAATTTGGAATAATCTTTTGTGGATTTAAAAAAAAAAAGCCTATAAGCTTATGTTGAAAAAGAATGTGATTAGCTATAATTAGTTAGCTTATAGTTACCTTCTTTGAGGGGAAGGCAATCTGTTACTTATTTTTTTGCTTTTTCAAATAATGCCCCTATTAGTAGGTATATAGTATATATTTGACGTCATGAGTATATGAGAATAATTTCTTTTTAGGGTCCTGATGAAGAAGCTGTTGTGGATCTTGGCAAAACCAGTTCAACTGTGAACACAAAGTTTGAAAAAGAAGAACTAGAAAGTAAGTTTGTTTAACTTATGCTTAGCAGGATAAATTACTAATGAAAGTTTGTTTGTGTGCTTTAAATTTTACCTATTTGTGGAAACATTTTGTTGTTATGAGGTAGAGCATACATTTAAAAGAACGTTTAATACTTTTCTAAATATAGTTCAAGGTATAATACAACAGACACCCATATAACCATACTCATAGCTGCAGTTAGAATATTCCTTGATTTTTCTTTGTTGGAAGTATTGATATAACAAAGATTTCAGAATCTCTGTGCTTTTTTTTTTTTTTTTCTTTTGAGAGAGAGAGAGAGCATGAGCAGGGAGGGGAGTATGGGTTAGAGGGAGAGGGAGAATCTCAAGCAGGCTGCACGCTTAGTGTGGAGCCTAATGTAGGGCTCAATCTCATGACGCCGAGATCATGACCTGAGCCGAAACCAAGAGTTGGATGCTTAACTGACTGAGCCACCTAGGTACCCTTAGAATCGATGCTTTTCAATTTTCCCTGGTGGTTGCCATTATTTACCTTGGAAATTAAAATACCAAAGTTAAAAAGTCAGTTGATTCTTTTATTTTTTTTTCATTTCTAGAGGCTAGGTAATTTTAGCAATCCAGAATGCCATAGCCACAGTTATTACTAGTCATCTAAATGTTCATTTTATAGGTCAGTTGCACCAGCCTTTTCAAGTGCTATGATACCGCAGCATAGAATTGTGGAACGAATGAATTATATGTCATTCTGTCTTCCAGGAAGAAGTCCTGGCAAATGGTTTCTTCTCTCTTTTTTTTTTCCCTTCTGACTGAAATAATTTTGATTTACAGAAGAGTTGCAAAGATAGTACAGTGTTCTGTTACCCTTTACGCAGCTTTTTAAAAATTTAACATTTTACGTAACCATCATTGTTAATGAAAATGAAGAAATTAACATTGGTACAGTTTTATTAACTAGACTAAATTTAATTCAGATTTCACCAGTTTTCAACTGATGTTGGTGTCTTGTTCCAGGATCATGTCAAATAGTTCAGGATCCACTAGTTCATTTAGTTGTCTCATCTCCTTAGTCTCCTCTATGACAGTGCCTTAATCATGACCTTGACGTGTTTGAAGGGTAGTGGTTAGATGCATTGTAGAATGTCTCTAAGTTTGGGTTTGTTTATGTTATCATATGAACAAACTGAGATTATTGATATTTGGGAAGCTTACCACAGAAGTGAGCATATCATATCTGGGGACATGTGATGTCAATGTGACTTATTAATATTGTTAATTTTGAACCCTTGCTTAGGGTGGTATTCCTGGCAAATGTTCTGATAGACTTTTGAGGTCTTTTTGGGAACTGTGTTTTTAAGTTAAAGCCTTCTGTGAAAGCTGGTACCATATAAGGACATTAATTTGTTGCTTTTAAAAAAGAGACGGAAAGAGGCAAAAAAGTGTTCTCCATATTTACTTTGTGAGATGGAAGAAAGCCCTGTCTTTTAAAATTATCTTTAGAAATCTAGGCTTCCTAGAGCTTCTGAAAGGAATCTCAGTTATCTGCAAGGTTATTACCATATAATGTTACCTCTCAAATGTGTGCAATCTAGAACATGAAGACTAGCATTTGGATGTGGTTTTTTTTGCTTCCCTTTGTTACCCCAGAGCCTTTAGCTTTGCGTACTTGATACATATCTAAATTTCAGTATGGGGTTTGAGGGAGAGATTACGTTTATCTGCATTTGACTGAATAGCCCTTTGACAGAGTAAAGGTTAAAGAAAAAGGAAAGAAAGGAAAGGAAAGAAAGAATCATAACAAGAACACTAAGGTTGATAATAAAAGCTAAATAAACGAAGCTTAGATTTTCATATTCCTGTTTATTCTTTCTAAATTGGAAACTCCTATAATTTATTTTTATTTTGGTGCATTAGGGCTGTGTGCCAGCGCCATTAGTACTAATTGGAGTACAACCTTGTAATTCCTAGTGCTCAGTGATGAGAATCTGACTCTTTAATTTCCACTTTTCTATAGTATTCAGAAGAAAATAGTCTCACTAAAATTAAATAGTAATATCATTGAGTTTTGTTATAATTTTTTTAGTTTTCTTATTGAGATATAATTTATTTAACATAAATTTCACCATTTTAAAGTGCATAGTTAATTTTTTTAAGGTGTATTCACTATGTTGTGCAACCATGACCACTCTAATTCTAGAACATTTCCATCATCTCCCCTCCCCCCATGCTATAAAATTGATTTTTAATTTTGGGTTTAAAAAATAATTGGTATTTAATTTCTATAATTTTTTTTTTATCTAGTGTGTACTGTGTACTAGGCAATGTACTAGGCATTGGAAGATGGTAAAGCAAATAATTTTAGTTGTTGTATATCTATAGCCCATTGTATATCTAGTTCTGTTTTAGTTTAAATGTAATGACTTAGTTTATTGATATTACTGTGTTGGCATCTGAAGCAAGAAATCAAGAGTCACCCTTTTCAAACTTAGCTGGGTATGTGTGTTTCAGAAAACTCAATTTTTTTTGTAAATGGATATTGGTAAATGAATGCAGAATTGCCATGGGTATTGATTTTAGGGTTACAAATGAATTTTAGGAAGTTGGCAAATTTGAAAATAAAGAATTCACAAATAATGAGGATTGACTATACTTTCAAATCTCATCTAATGTTGAGGATCTTGAATTTCTTGAAGTATTTATTTTCTGACCATCTTGTGGAACTTGTTAGGAAAAGAATGTCATTAACTATGCATATTTCAGCATGTTACTTTTTAAAGTACTTAAGGTCAAAAAGCAGCACTGTGTCAGAAGGCATTTGTAGAGTTGCAAATTAGTTAAACTTATAGCCCACCACTGCTTTCACTCCATGTAACTTAGAAAGGAATGTTACTGAAACTATTTAAGAAATCAAGTTCATGCCTCAGTATTTGACATAGTGCTGCTAGCTTTCTAGTTCCTTAAGTTTTATTTAGTGGACAAAAGCAGAGACTACCTTTCATAACCATTTTGTTGGTCACAATACAAATTGGGAATTGTGCAAATTCAGCAGTAGCTTTTTCATATTCCAGAAGCATGTGATAACCTTATTGTATTGTTTCCCCCCACCAATCTGATAATTTATGCCCTTTAGTTGGAGTATTTGGATCATTTACATTTAATGTAGCTTTCAGTAATTTGGACCTTGCTGATTTGAGATTTTCAAAACTGTAATTAATAAATATTTATAAATATCTGCCTATGAATATTGATTATAAGGTATTTTATTATCATTAAAACATACCTCTTAAGGATGTCTGTTAACTAGGTTTGACATCAAAATGTTGGTGGAATAAATTTATGTCTACATGGTATGATTTCAGCTAGGCCAACCTCTTCTTTCCCAAAATGCCTTTTTAACCTTGCCAAAATAATGCTTACACAAGTAACTGTTTTATCAGTCAGTGGTATTAACCCGTGACATAGCATTCTTTTAGTGCTCTATAAAGGAAAAGAACAGGAAATAGCATTGTTAATTACATGAGCTTAAATATAATTCTTTTTTATCAAAGTAAAATTTGGTATACTTTTGTGTATATTCTTTCCTTTTTGGAAAATTAGTAATGTTTCTGAACCTTTGGCTAGGTCATCGAGCTGTCTATATTGGCGTTCACGTCCCATTTAGTAAAGAGAGTCGTCGGCGTCATAGGCATCGTGGACACAAACATCACCACCGAAGAAGAAAAGATAAAGAATCAGATAAAGAAGATGGACGGGAGTCTCCTTCTTATGGTAAGAGAAAACAGTAGTTCCTTGTTAACACCTTAAAATTCTTTCCTGACAAATTTTGTTTAAAAAGTAGAATATTTTCTTTCTTAAATTTTATGTCTGCTGTAATTTAGACACATTATAAACCTTGAAGAATATACTAATTGAAGTAATATTTTTTTCTCCAAGGAATATACTCATTGAAGTAATAATATTTTTCTCTATTATATATTTCGTTATTTATATGTGCAGTGAACAAATATCTGGAATCTTCAGGCTCCTGGATAAGATTAATTTTTCTTCCATTTTTTGGCTAGAAAAATTTATCCACTAAATTGAACTATTTGGTTATCTGTGCAGAAAAATAGTGCTCTCATTTGATAGTATTGCCTGCCTGTGAAAGGACAGAGGTTTGTTTGAAAGAAGAGAAATACAGAAGGGCCAATAGACAGAGGAAATCAGAAAGAAAAAAGGCATATGGTAGAGGAAAGAGAATGTTAGGCCCTGAAATGTGCAAATGGTGAGAGCCCCCCAAAAATGCTGTACAGCTTGAGGAGGACTTCTAGGATATTGTAGTTAGTGGACATATAAAGCATCATTATTTTTTTAGGACATAATGGGCCTGCATGGCCATCTTTACACCGTGGGTTCTAGTGTGTGCATTCTAGCAAAGTTACATGAGCTGTCCTTGGAGGCATTTGTGTGCTTGCTAAAGGCATGTTTTTGTAACAAAGAGGGAAAGAATCTTATGGGTCATATAGCTACAATGTGAACATAAGAAAATAGTGATATATGAAGTGCCAATTCTGTGCTAAGCATTCCACCAAGCCCTTGACATATGCTCTTTGATTTAATTCTCTCTGTGCTTTTAATTTTATTTATTTTTTTTAATTCTAATTTTAATTCCAGTTACTTAACATACAGTGTTATATTCATTTTAGGTATATGATATAGTGATTCAGTAATCCCATACAACACCTGGTGCTCATCACACCAAATACATTCCTTAATCCCCATCACCTATATCACCCATCACCTACCCTCCTCCCTTTTGGTAACTAACAGTTTGTTCTGTGTAGTTAAAAGTTTGTTTCTTGGTTTGTCTTTCTCTCTTTCTTTTCTCTTTCCTTATTTGTTTTGTTTATTAAATTCCACATATGAATTTTCATTCATATGGTATTCATTTCATATAGTATTTACTTTTCTCTGATTGACTTAACTTTGCTTAACATTATACTAGCTCCATCCATGTCATTGCCAATGGCAAGATTTCGTTCTTTTTTATGGCTGAACAATATTCCATTGTGTATATACCACACGCATTTTCTCTGCATTTTTAAAAGATGGTTGTTGTTTTCATTTTGTAGATGGAGATACTTCAGCTTAGAGAGACTAAATGTGATGGGAATCTCTTAAAAGCCTCTACTAAGAGGTAGTACATGGCCTAGTATATGATGGATTATATTCCAGTCAATAAACAAGTTTTAATACACTGAAAAAATTGAAAGTATATTCTGTGACCACAATGGAATTAAATTACAAAGATACCAAGAAAAATCCCCAGATAGTTGGAAATTAAACAGATGGTTCTCAGTAATCTCTGGGTTAAAGAAGCAATCAGAAAAGAAATTAGGAAATATTTTGAACTCATAAAAATAAAAACACAGTACTGGCAATGATTGAGATAAAATCTTGCAAAGTGAGGACATGCTTCTGGTGTACAGGTTCTGTTAGCATGGTACTGTGCAAAGTTAGGACTGTGTATAAATTGAAATTCGTTAGATGCAGTTAAAGCAGTGCATAGAGGAATATTTGAAGCATTTAATCCTTATATCAGAAAAGAAGGAAGATCTGATCTTCAGCGATCTAAATTTCTAACTTAAGAAACTAGGAGAAAACCTAGAACAAATTAAACCAAAGTAAGGAAACGAAAAGAAAAATAAAAACTGTTGCAGAAAATGAATAAAGACCAGAAAAACAAGAGTAAAAATCAGTTAGACTGAAATCTGATTCTTTGAAAACATAAGTAAAATTGATATATAGCCAGAGTGATGAGGGAGAAAAAAAAGATATGAATTACCAGTATCAGAATATTTCAGTGCAGATTGTACAGGTACTAAAAGACTGATGAGGGAATATTATGAATGGTTTTATGCCAACAAAATTGGTAATTTAAGATGAAATGGGGAAATTCCTTAAGAATACAAACTAACAAAGAAAAATGGATAATCTTACTTACCCCGTGTGTATAAAGAAATTAAATTTGTAGTCTAAAACATTCCCACAATGCCATTTTACTCCCAGATGGCATCATGGATGAATCTGATCAAACATATAAGGAAGAAATTAGAGAGACTGCCAGAAAATTGAAGATGAAGGAACACTTCCCATTTCATTGTTATGAATCCAACATTACCTCGATACCAAAACTGAATAACAGTTGTTACAAAAAAATAAAACTATAAATATCTCTCACGAATGTAGATTCACAAAGCGTTAACAAACTAAAAACATATTTTACCCCGTAATAATCCAAAAAGGATACTGTATCATTACTGTGGTAGGCAGAATAATGGTTCCCAAGATATCTCTCTTCCCAATGCCCAGAAACTGTGAATGTTAACTTTATAGCAAACTTGAATTTATAAATGTGATTAGATTAAGTATTTTGAGATGGAGAAGTTGAATGAAGTATGCCAGTGGGCCAGTTGTAATTACAAGGATCCTTTAGTAAGAGGGAGTCAGAAGATCAGAGAGGAAGTAGTTGTGACCATGCAAGCAAATAGTTGTAGTAAGTGGTTCAGACCCAAATAACATAGGCAGCTTCCAGAAGCTAGAAAAGGTAAGGAAATGGATTTTTCCCCTAGAGCTTGCAGAAGGAACCAGCCAATGATTTTAGCATTGTAAGACTCATTTTGGACTTCTAGTCTCCAGAACTATATAAGAAATAAATTTGTGTTTAGGCCACCAAGTTTGTGGTAATTTGTTACAGCAGCAGTAGGATATTAGTATAATAACCATGTGGGAAAACAGGGTTGGTATAAAATTTAACTATCAGTATAAATAACCACATTAACACTATAAAGGAGGAAACCCCTGTAATTGTCTCAGTAGGTGCAGAAAAAGCCTTTGACAAAATTCCACGGCCATTCATGATAAAATTCTCAGCAAAGAAGGAATAAAAGAAAACTTCCTCTACCAGATACACAGCATCTACAAAAACACTTTGTCAACCTCACACTTAGTGCTAAGAGATGGAATGCTTTCCCCTTATCATTTGGAGAAAGGCAGGGTTGTCCTACGCCACTTCTGTAGAGCATGGTATTGTAGCACCTAGCTTGTGTGATAAGGCAAGAAAAATTAAAGGCATACAGATTGCAAAGGAAGAAGTAAAATTGTCTTTATTTACAGATATAAGATCATGTATGTAAATCCTAGGCAATCTGTGAAATTATAGAACTAAGTGAATTTAGAAAGGTTATAAGATATACAATTATATTTCTATATTTTTCTCAAGTAGCAATGAACAATCAGAAATTGAAATAAAAAAACCACTTACAGTAGAACCAAAAATATTGCCTGGAAGTAAATCTGACAAGAGAACTGTAAGACCTAAATGTTGGAAGGTTCAAAACATCAGGAAGTTCAGTCATAGTATGTTTTAGTTTGTCCTGCATAGGTCTCAGGGTGGTCCTTTAATATGAGGACCTATGTGATATACATACTGGAAAATTTTCAAATTTGCTTTTTATTGCTTCTCCCCTATTCTGTATTTTCTAATTTCTGGAGTTTTTCCTGTTCGATTTTTCTTACTTTGTTCTCTACATTTCTGAACCTTTAGTTTTCCATCTTCTTGTTTGTTATTGATGCAGTCTGATTTCTTCAGCTTTGTCTTTTCCTTTATTTATTTATTAATATTATTTTTAAAAATTCTTGGGGCACCTGGGTGGCTCAGTCATTAAGCATCTGCCTTCGGCTCAGGTCATGATCCCAGGATTCTGGGATCGAGCCCCACATCAGGCTCCCGGCTTGGTGGGAAGCCTGCTTCTCCCTCTTTCACTCCCCCTGCTTGTGTTCCCTCTCTCGCTGTGTCTCTCTGTCAAATAAATAAAATAAATAAAAAAAAATTCTTTTAAAAATTTATTTATCTTTAAAAGATTTTATTTATTTGCCAGAGAGAGAGAGAGAGAAAGAGCGAGTGAGCACAAGCAAAGGTGAGGGGCAAAGGCAGAGGGAGAAGCAGGCTCCCTGCTAAGCAAGGAAGCTGACATGGGACTCAATCCCAAGACCCTGGGATCTTGATCTGAGCCAAAGACAGTAACTTAACCAACTAAGCCACCCAGGTGTCCCTGTCTTTTCCTTTATTAATCGTCCTAACCTATTCTCTAACCTGTTTATTGCATCTGCAAGTGCCTGCAAGTTTGTTTACTTCGGTGTAGATTTTGATTTTGACTTCATATCTCATATTCAGCAGGAGTTGATTTTGTTTTCAGCTGATGCTTGTGGTTGTTTTCTTGTCCTAGGGCTGTGGACTGTCCTGGACTAGAGTTTATACTAATTTTTCAAGGGACCCTATACTGACTGTGTAGGTAGTTTAAATTCAGATGCCATGAGTGGGGATTCTGGTTCATATCAGTGATTTGTCCTGCCTCCCTAACCTTAGCTGACAGAGTTTTGCTTCTCTGTGGTAATACAAAAAGCCAGTTTCTATATACCTCTCGCTTTGCTTTTTCTCGTAATTTTTTGGACCTTGGGAGATTTTCCTTTTTCAGTTTTGATCTTAGCTACATATTAATTACATATTTTTAAAATTTGTTTTGTCCAACACTTTCTTATAATTTTAGTGAGAAAAGAGTCTTATTTTTGATACAGTGTTCCATGTTTTCGGATATTGCATATTTTTATTTGTTTTTACACCAGTTATATTAGTTTCATTTATTTATTTTTAATTTTACTTTTTTTAAAGATTTTATTTTTAAGTAATCTCTGTACCCGATATGAGGCTCAAACTTATAACCCTGAGATCAAGAGTCACATGTTCTACTGACTGAGCCAGCCAGGCACCCCTCACTTGTTTATTTTTAAGATATTATTTTTCTTTTTTGTCTATGGAGGTGATCTTTCTGTGATACTCTTTGTTTTTGGATTGTTGGTCTTTGTTTTCTTCCAGATTTATAGTATTTTAAAAAAAGTTTTGATGGAATGTATTTTTATTTATTTTTATTGAAATATACTAAATATTCAAATAAATACATTTATTTGAAAGCATCTCACTTTCAAACTGAGTTTATCTTTGAAGGAATTGTGGCAATTTTTGAGTGTATTTAAATTCTTTTGTCAAGACACACCATCCCAAAGAGTTCAGTTCATTCTTGGTACTGAAGATGATGACGAAGAGCACATTCCGCATGATCTCTTTACGGAAATGGATGAACTGTGTTACAGAGATGGTGAAGAGTATGAATGGAAAGAAACTGCCAGGTAATAATACCTGTATTATTAGTCTCAGTATTTAGTTGGCTTTTCTTGATTTTTTTTCTTGTGTTGTAAATATAATGAATTTGTGAGTTCCTGGGTGCTTTAAAATAATGAGAGAATTTCTTCTTCTCTGGAAGCTATAGTTTATCTCTTTATTCTCAAAATTGGTTTTCTTAAGTAATCCTTACCACTTCAACATAGCATAGAAGTAATTATGTTAATTATACATTTTAATGTCTTTAATTAGAGAAATAAATTTCAAAAATCACGGTCCTGCTGCATATGTTCAGTTTAGAAGAGGATTAGCAGTGGGAACCACAAGGTTCTGTAGTTTGTCTTTGTAGAAGAGGATTAGCAATGGAAACCACAAGGATCTGTAGTTTGTGTTTGTAGACCTATTATTGTGTAGCTAGAACAGAATGAGGAACTGTATAGGTTGTAACTTGTGAATAGAGTGGACCATTAGCTCGATTTGTAAAAATGAGTTTGTAGCCAAATTTTGTGTTGGTAGTGGTAATCTTTTTCTCTTTAAAAGAACAAGTATATATATATAAAAAAAAAGAACAAGCGTATGTTTATTATATTAAAATAAGCAAATTAAATCATCATTATTTACAAAATATTTTTATGTGTTGACATATTTCAGATGGCTGAAATTTGAAGAGGATGTTGAAGATGGTGGTGACCGATGGAGTAAACCTTATGTGGCAACTCTTTCTTTGCACAGTCTTTTTGAACTAAGAAGTTGCATCCTAAATGGAACAGTGATGCTGGACATGAGAGCAAGCACTCTAGATGAAATAGCAGGTTAAGCAGTTTGACTTTTTCAGTACCTATGTTGTGCTGAAATTAGCAATATTTAAATAAGGAAAATGAGGTGGGATTTTAGACCATTGATGAATTGCTCTTGGTTGAAATTCTGTCCTCGGTAAGACAGCATGAGGAGTACACATATAAATAACCCTCTTTGTCTTTAATAAACTTAGAGTCTAGAAGATTAATAAATTAGACAAGCTCAACTACAGTACCAAAAAGAAAGTGACTAGTGCCATAAGCAAGATATGCAGTCTGTTTCTGGAAATGTAGAGAAAAGAGCTTTTTGTTTCTTCAGTTTTTGGACCAAGGTACCTGGGGAAAATCCACAAGGACATTAAATGTACTACTTATTTACTACTTATTTATAGACTTTGAACACATGAGAACAAGGAGCAGGTGGTACAGGAGAAAGAAAGTATTCTGAGGAGGAGGAAGAGAAGGAAGAAAGGTCTAAAAAATATAGAAAAACAGGTATGGATCTCACATGGAAGTCAGTTCCCTGTGAGTATACAGATTTCTTGAATAGTATTAGGAGACATTACTTTGGCTTTGCAAGTATCACGTAACACAGAGCAATGTTTTAATTATTTACAATGTAATGTCTTCTAATCCAAGGTCCCTTTGTATAGTAGGCTGTAGTACTTATGTTAATGTTACAGTCTACCTATTAGGTTGATTCCAGTTTTCTCTCAGAGGAATCTTTTATGTTTGAAAGCTTGACTGTTTTATCTCAAATTAGTGGCACTGTTTTAAAATATTTATATATATTTTATAGTTTAAAAATAGTCCAGTCACTACAATAATGTATCATATGGCATTACATCAATCTCTCCATTCCCCATACCTCCTTCACAGCCTGATATACTCATCTTCCTAGAATTTATTACTTCATGATATTTTATGCTTTCATTTGTTCATTGGTTTTTCTTCCTCTGGTAGAGTGAGAGTGGAACCTTGATCTCCTTAGCTAAATTCTGTATTCCCAACATGTAAGGTACTCAGTAAATAGTTAATTATTGAATGAAAGAGTCCAATACTCATCTATAATTTTGACAAAAAATATGAAGTGAGGCAATAAAATACCTTCACTTCTTAGGAAGCCAATATTACTGAATATTGAGTTTAATAGAATTTATTGTGTCCATATCAAGAAAGCACTTTCAACTATAGGAAGGCTATTAGTGTAGAATAGTGACCTCTTTAGAAATAACAGTATTTACAAAAGATAGGGGTCTCCATGTAACTTGTTTACTTTTCTTAAATAATGTTCATATTTATCTTTCTTTCTTTTTTTTCTCCTCCTTTAAATTCAAGTTAGTTAACATATAGTGTATTATTACTTCCGGGGGTAGAATGTTGATTCATCATTTGCATATAACACCCAGTGCTCGATACATCAAGTGCCCTCCTTAATGCCCATCACCCAGTTACCCCATCCTCACCCACCTCCCCTTTAGCACATATTTATCCTTATGCATACATTATTCAATATCAGAAGAGAATGATATTTTCTACAGAACTATTTAAAGGTCTTATTTTTCAGTAAGGTTTCATGTACATTTTATGGTTTATGTTATAGCCCTCCAAGTATTCGTTTATTTAATAAAAGCGGCTGTTATTTTTCTTTCAATAGATATGGTATTGGATAACATGATAGCCTCTGGCCAGTTGGATGAGTCCATAAGAGAGAACGTCAGAGAAGCTCTTCTGAAGAGACATCATCATCAGAATGAGAAAAGATTCACCAGTCGCATTCCCCTTGTTCGATCTTTTGCAGATATAGGCAAGAAACATTCTGACCCTCACTTGCTTGAAAGGAATGGTGAGATAAGTTGTGGCATCCAATTTCACTAACACTTCTACTCTAACAGCATTCCAGTGTACAATTAGCATTTGGGGGCAGAAAGATATTTTTTCCAGATAATTCTGTAGATCATTTTATTATCTCTTTTATTATTTTTTTAAAAATAATAATGTTACTTTTGTATTTAAAAATATTATTTCTAAAATATTCTTTATAACATGACAGTTAATCTGTAGAAATCATTCAGATGAAAAAACCAAGTATTCACTTTGTTATAATGGCACATTTATCACTATAGCCAATCCTGAATTACTTCTTGCTTTTTTGTTTTTGTCAAGAACACTTGAATAACTGATTAAAGAGACATAAATCATGATCTGTAAGTTTAATCTTTTATTCTAAGTCTTGGATTTGAAACTTTATTATTTATATTAGATTTTTCATAGTGATTTTTTTGTTTGTTTCCCCAAATATACTTTATTTGCAGAGCATAAATAAGTGTTTTTGGGTTGGTTTGATGATTTGACTGCCCTTTATTTATATACTTTATGTAAGGTTTTTTATGGATGGTTTGTTCTTAAGCTAGGGATGACCTCCTTGATGTCTTCCAAACCATTGAGAATGGCACAGACCATTTTTTAGCTCTCAGCTGTCATGGTCTAGCAGTGGATTATGTGGGACCTGGTGGCTTATGTGGGGATGCATTGTTTTTGTAGCCATTCACCTCCATCACTGTTTTAAGGCTGGCACATCTGGAGGCAGAGGATACTTCCCTGGGGTTCTGTTTTGGCTCTCAAAAAGAGCTCTGATGACAGTGACTCTGCAAAACCTAGGTACAAAGGGCTGGAGTTGCTTAGGAGGATCCTTCTTGCCTCTAGCTGATACCATTACCCAAGGATTAGAGTTAAGAGGGGTGGTTGATGGACTGCAGTGTCTTTCTTCTCATCTTCTTTGTCCCTGCAATAATAGTATGGCTTTTAAGTATTCTACAAACAAACAGCCATTGGGGATGGGGTTTAATATATCTGGAATGGACAGTAATCATCTTTTGCAGCTCAGCGTGACATACTTAAGTCCGTTTTCTTCTTATGGACCTAAGTTCAATTTTAAAATTAAGCCATCCATGCCACATTTTGTGTCTTTTTCATCTTCATGTACTGTATATTCTTAGCTTTCCTGAAATGAGTTCATTTACTCAGACCCTATTAAATCTTTATGCTTCACGTGGAATTGTTCCTGATATTCCCTGATTGTCATTTGTTTCCTTTTAATCATAAGACAATGGCTGTTTTCTTTTAAATGTCATTTTAGCATGTGCATGCCATTTTTTTGTATTATAGTTGTAATTTAACAGTTTTTCTGCATACAGCTTTAGTTTTAACTAAGTTGTGGTTGTTTATGAACTAAGGTTCATCTTTTTAATATTTCTGGGATCTCTTGAGCATATGGCTTTGATAACTTAGATCATATAGGATTGATTGTCATAGTTCTCATGTTTTTCCTAAAATCAGTATTATTCCACTAAACTACACTTCTTAGAATACCAGGTCTTTGAAATATAAATGTATATGACCTTTTGAAATAGCTAGACTTACTTCATCTTTGCCACTGTTGGTGAGAAATACTTTATTATCTAGCTAAATTAAATTGTATGTATTTAATTTTATCTGCTATATTAGAAATGGATGCATATTTTAGGACATTACTAGTATCTTTACAGGGCTGAAGAATGCCCTTTCAAATTGACACTTTTTTTAAAAAAAAATTCCTGTAACTTCCCTTACGTTTTAAAATTTTACTTGAGAGCACTACCAGTAGGTGATGCTCTACTGACTAATGTAAAGATTTGGTATCAATTTTAAGTTAGGAATTATTAGATGATACAAACTTTCTTTGTGAGAGAATTATCTTTAGCAGCTTGGGTATAGTGTAGGAAAAATACACTAAATATAATCTATCAGTGCTTGTAAGTTTTGTTTAAGGTTTTATTTCTTAGATTATTTTTATATTACCTTCTTATTTGCTATTTATTGTTTATCAACTTTGCATTGATAGTTTTTTTTAAAAAGCCACATTATTGAATATTCTGATTACTAACAGAATATTACCCCCCACCATCTATCATTTGCATTGTTTTTTATTTTCTGGATACATCTTCAGGGAACTAAGTATAATTTAAGCAGCTTTTCATTGCCTTTCTAACATTTAAACATCTGATCGCCATGCTAACTCTGATAGCATGAATTTGAAATTTTGGGCTTTAAAGCTTGCAGTTTACATTGTAAATTGATGTTATGTGTGTGTGTCTGTTTGCCTTCTGCAATGAACTTCATCATTTTTCATTTATTTGTTTTATCTCAGGGGAAGGCCTTTCAGCCTCCCGCCACTCTTTGCGAACAGGTCTGTCTGCCTCAAACCTTTCATTGAGAGGAGAATCGCCTTTATCTCTTCTTCTCAGTCATCTTCTTCCTTCTTCAAGAGCTGGAAGCCCTGCAGGCTCAAGGTGTACAACCCCAGTACCCACCCCTCAAAACAGCCCTCCTTCCAGCCCTAGCGTCAGTCGCCTGACCTCCAGAAGTTCCCAGCAGAGTCAGCTTCAGGCCCCAGAACTACTGGTTTCACCTGCCAGTGATGATATTCCCACAGTAGTAATTCATCCGCCTGAGGAAGACTTAGAAGCACTGAGAGGCCAGGAGCAGAAGAAGGAGGAAAATGTTGACATGACTCCAGGCAACTATTTGCATCCTCCTCGTGTGGTGCTTTCTGCCTCCGGATCACTTGCACTTGGAATGCCTTTCAGCACAGAGCTTTAGCAGCATATGTAGATAATGCTTATAATTTATTTTGACTTCTGCATGTTTTTTTTTTCCCTTATAGTATATTGTAGAAAAGAACAGAAGTATTAAACATTTTTAGATTACAAAAAGACTGCAAAGAACTACACATAACTTAAAGCCCTTTCAAAAATTTTTACTGAGATTTTACAGGTCAGGGCATTTGAATAGTTCAGAAAAACAAATTTTTATAAGTAATCTTTTAATTTTCCAAGATTTAAAAAAAACGGTGGCTTCTTGTGCATTTCCTTCATAGTATGAATGAACACATCTTGGACATAAATTACAATGAGGTGATGTGCCTTTCATCTACTATCTGTTGCTTTTTTCCAAGGACTGCAGTATATTTTAACCTTCCTAACACAAATAGGATCGAATATTCTTTTCCTCTTGTCTCTGAGAAGATCAAAGTTCTCTAGTGGCTATCTGGAATCATCATTATTTTAAGACTAGTATTATATTTTGGGATAGACTTTAGTTTGTCCTCTGTTTAATGTCATAGCTACCTTTACTCCAAATTGACCTTGAAATTCTTAAGACCAGAGATTCTAGAGTAGTGGCTAGGATATATTTTTGTCTGTGAATTAGAAAAATTATTTCTAAGTGGCTAAAAGGTTTAATAATTCATCCAAGTGTTACATATTATGGTAATTTTGTTTCTTCATAATATATTAGTTATATGTACATTTAAACATGTATATCTTTCCACTCAGTTCATATAAAGAAGTATTCTTTAGTGGCTGTTTTTTTACTGACAGCTAAGTGTCAGTGTGACATGTCAATGCTAGCTAGTGGTTTTAATCATATAAGTATTTTTCCATTTCTTCATAATACCAGTAACATTTAACACTTCACTGATAACTTATGTTCATTGTATTAGCTATTCAGTGTGTATAAAAATTAGTGTCAGTTAGGTGGATACACCCATTTTTCAGAAACTCAGATTCTAAAACTCAGAAACTCAGAAAAGCTAGAGAATTTCTCCCTGGATCATAGAATTAGTAAGTGATAGCCTAAGTCCTCTGACAAAATCCTTGAGGTCCTATCATATATGACAAACTTCTCCTTCTCTGTATTGAATTTCTCCAGACATACCAAGTATATTTAATCAAGGCTTATTGTAGGTGCCAAAAAATTACATACTTCTAGAAGTAAAAAATGGACATATGGTGGCCAAATCATTATACATTAATTATGACCATAACTATAGCTTCCATTGTTTTCTAGCTTGTTCTACATGCAGTGGTATTACTTTTCAAATATATTTATAATTCTCCTAACAGTTTGATGAGGTTCTTGTTATTCCCTATTTTACAAATGAAGAAAACAAAGACTTACTAAGATCATGCCATAAATGACCAGAAATTGAACTCAGATCTAGCCACAGCAAAATCTGCAGTATAATATATCATTATAGATTTTAATACCTTGCCTATACCTATAGAAATACCTATAATTATTTACTCAGAAGTAATCAACAGTCTTAATTAGAAAGAACCAGCAAGACTTACTATTTTTCTTTGAAGAAAAGTGATTTTTTTTTTTTAAAGATTTTTTATTTATTTAGTTGACAGAGATCGCAAGTAGGCAGAGAGGCAGGCAGAGAGAGAGGGAGAAGCAGGCTACCCACTGAGCAGAGACCGATGTGGGGCTCTATCCCAGGACCCTGGGATCATGACTTGAGCTAAAGGCAGAAGCTTTAACCCACTGAGCCACCCAGGTGTCCCAAGAAAAGTGATTTTAAACTTAATCCTTTGCATTTGTTTTTACTTATATCTAGCAGTAATACTGAACATTTCTTGTTTTACCAGCTTCTATGAGGGATTATAAATTTTATAAGGGAACTAGGAGATGATATACAGTTTCACAGTAGCTTGTTAGGCCATGTTGTTAAGAAGATAAAGGTAGCAATTAACTGAAAACTGAAGAAATTCAGCTTTTTTTTCCTCCTCTGCCATAAGTATGCCATGAGATTTAAAGAAATTAGAATGGAAGGAAAAGAGGAATTTCTAAAGACAAGGAAAAGCCCATAATTACTGTTTAAAAAGACATGTATAGAAGGTATATAATTAAAATTATAGGAACAGCTATATGTTGTTCCCTGGTATGATTACCTGTGGTGCTTAAAACACCTAGACACCCTGGTTGAGTTTCCTTGAAATCTGCTGTTATGTTACAGGAGGAAAGTGGCCTTAGCATCATTTTGGAGAGACTGATGTCCTAGATCTTGTGTCATGGGATCATGATTTGTGCATACCCATAGTAAGAAAGAAAGTGGTGTTTCCTATTATGTTTTGGAGAATAATTACATGTAAAAGAGTTAAGCTTAGTTTTAGTATTTGTAACTATCTTCTGACTCCCTGTTTTTCAAATTTGGCACTGTTGACATTTTGGGCTGGACTCATCTTTGTCATGAGGGGCTATCATGTGCATTGTAGGATGTTCGACAGCATCCCTGGCCTCTGCACTAGCTGCCAGTATTACTCCCTAGTTGTGGTGATGAAAAATGTCCCTCCCTATTGCCAGATGTCTCTTGGGGGACAGAATCTTCTCTTTGTGCATCACTGCTTCAGCTGCTTCTATTTTCAATCTTTTAGTGGCAGAAGACTCTGATATCTTGGATTTATCTTTCTCTAGATAGATATGTTATTGTGAGAAAAACTGTAAAGACAAAAGAATAGATTTACTAAAGTATGATTTTTAAATCCAAGTATTGATTTTATATATATACAGACATTGTTTTTTCTTAAAGCCAAGAAGTACAGTCTTTCTGAGTTATCTGTGCTAGTGATAGTTTTAATTTTGGGGAATTTACTCAATTAATTCTGAGCACTGGAATTTATTTTACAAGCAGGGAGACTTCCTTTACTGGTTGAGAAATAACTTTAACTTAGCTGAGATTGGGAAGGACTACATAGAGAAGATACTGGTGAAAAACTCTAACGTATACTTCATGCCAGTTCTAATAGGTTTAGGATGACCAGGTTAGCTGGATGACTTCAGATCTTATTCTAACTTTACCTGTATTGCATTTCCACATCATTTCTTCTTCCCGCTCCCACTATATCCTTACATTCTCCCCATAGTCTCCATTCTACTCTTCTCTCTAAAATCTGGTGGCTGACACTGTTCTGGGAAATTGCATATATATTCTTTTGATTATACATGTGTGGACTGAAGTGTTTAGTAGTTAGAAGTGTATGTATCGATGGTCATGTGCAGTTAACACCTTGACACCAAGGCCTTAATGGTATGCTGTTGAAAAATACTGGTTAACCTTTTTTTATCCACCCTTCCCCCCCAAAACTGGGCATGTATTTTAATAAAGGAATGGACTCTATTCTGGAATTTCAGAGGCAAAGGTCAAAGAAGAGGAATCGTAGTAACTATTCTGCTAAGCTAAAGTGGTAGAAATGAGATAAGTTTTAGCATATAGTTTTTATTTGAGAATTGTTCAACACTTCCAGGTCATGTAGCTGAATTGTTTGTATATGCTTTTTGTTTGTTTTTTGTTTTTTTTTTAAGATTTTATTTGATACCTAGTGTGGAGCTCAAACTTACAACTCTAAGATCAGGAGTTGCACACTCTACTGACCAAGCCAGTCAGCCACCCCAACAGTTACATATGCTTTTTATACTTAGGCTTTTGGGTCATGGTAATATCCTGTTTTAGGTATTTAACAAGAGAAGGGGATATCACAAATGTCTACAGTCACTGAGTTTGAGTAGTAAACCCAAATGACGTAGATTCAATTATTAGTTACACTGTGTTCTAGAAAAATGAAAATTCCCTCTCATGGATCAGATATATCCGATGTGCTTAAAATTCAGGAAATTTACCAATATTAACTTTAAAGTTTATAGGATTTAGGCACAAACTGCTTAATTGAATTTCTGTGGGTAGCTAGATTGTTGTGTGAGTGGCAGAGTTAAAACTAAAAGTCAGGTCTGTTGTAGGTCAGCCTACCACGTTTTTTCTTGTGCTCAGTGTTTTGGGCAATAATAAGCTATATTCTTGAACCAGAATATCCTGGGTGTTTTGAAAAAGTGAGATACATTTAGTGGTAGAAATCTGTGTTATGTACTTCATAAACATTGAGACTTGAGCTTTTTGCAGACTTCATAGGGATAACAATTGGTCACAGGCTATAGGTTTTTTTTAGATTATTTTATTGTTGTGAAATATTGCTGCTGAATATCATTTGAAATGAGCATACTAATGATAGAATGTATATCTATCATTTGTAATCTAAACAAGCTAATTTTACAGATTTGTCTGAGCTTTTAGGTTGAGAGAGTTAAAGTCATACGGCTACAAAGTGGCCGAGGGTGCTTATTTCAACACAGATGTGTTTGAGTATAAAAAACTTCTTGTATTTATACTGTAAAAACATTGCTATTATATTTTCAAGTTATACTTCTTAGGAGTAATGGCAGTAGGCAGCACGTAAATACTACTCAAGAGAAGTGAAATTATTGAGGAAATCATTATGGTGGAAGATTATGATAAATTTAACCTACATTTAGTTGATGGAGCTCTTGGATTTTCTGAGTTGCATTTAAGGTTTATCAGAAAATAAATACTGTTACTGATGTAAGTATGCCAAGTGTAATTTGGCATCATTAAGCTCTGCAGTTGGCATGTGTGTTATGTACATCGCAAGTGCATTCCTTGAGTATTTGTAGTGGTGTAGTCAGACTCAGGTCTTCCATTTTCTGTGTTCCTCACCTACTCACTTTTTTCCTTCTCTTTGCAAATGGCCACCGTTTTTGTAAGTTCCAATTATATTATTTTTAAATGTTAAAATATACAGCTTCATTATTGCTTAAAATGTTATTCTAGTCTTGCTGGTATGATACTAACACTTGGCACTTTTTTTTTTTTTTTTTAAACCTTGCACATTTGCTTTTAATAAATTATCACTTTCAGGATATGAGCAGAGTCAGTTTACAAAGTGAATTTCCTCCTTACTGATTGGGAATATTTTGGTTCTTAAATACAGGTATTTTGGCCTCTCCACAATCTGCACCTGGAAACCTGGACAATAGTAAAAGTGGAGAAATTAAAGGTAATGGAGGTGGAGGAAGCAGAGAAAATAGTACTGTTGACTTCAGCAAGGTAATTCTGTCATTCACTGTAAATTTTCTTAATCACTGAGATTTTCATAATCACTGAGAAAATTACTAGCAATGTGACTTTATTAGCACTGATTATAATAATTTTTTAATAGATTGGTGATTACAAGCCTACATGTGATACTTGTGATACTTAAGGTCAAAAATTACGAGAAAGTTAACAGTCTTAAGAGCATTTGAATATCTTTATGTATTACTAGTTTCAGGAATTTTGACAAAAGAATATGTGAATAATATGGTATTTCCATCTTATACCTACCCATAGATATCATGAAACTTTAGTACCTTTTGAATTTGTCATTTGTTCTGGAGCTACTTCCAGCAGAAAGAATAATTCTGGGAATTATGTTAAAGCACTGGTGATTCAGCCTTTTCTTGGCTGTAATAAGATCCCAGAATTACTGTCTTACAGTGTCAATATTTTCTGGAATGTCCCTGGGAAAAGTATTGGTTTATCCCCATGGGTAGGTAAAGGCATGGATTTAAATACAACTCACCTATCTCAACTGTGATTTTTTATTTTGGTAGATGAGTATTTAGGTGAAATAAAAATAGAAAACTCAACATTTCAAAAGAACTGGGCAAAAAAACCCTTAAGTTCAAATTGCAGTTGAATTTAAAGCATACTTTATGAGTACTCCTTCTGAATAGTTGATTCCTTGTGGCTTTTACAACTTCTGATTAGTTTGCTGTAAGACACTCTATTTTAACATCGTTGTATCCAATTTAAGACTTAATTAAATGTGACTATTTCAAGTAAGATGCATTTTCTTAAGCCTCTTATGGTATAAAATCTATAAATCACATTTTGCAGAAAAGGAGTATAAATAAATGATTTGCAGTATAGCTTTGCTTGAGCTTCTTGCTCTAAAATTATAAAAGTATTTTTAATTCTTCTATTCTAACTTGACCATATTTTTACTGGTACCTCTGTTATTTCAGATGAGTGGAAAGTGTTTAGTAACCATACTGCAGCTAATTCTGGTTAAATGGATAAATGTAACTTTCATTAGACATCTCCTCTAGACATGGCAGATGCCGTTTATTTCTGTTCCTCTGTCACAGTTTTACTTATTTTTACTTGGCCTATCCTTGTGTACCCCTCCTTGTCTCCTGTTGGGCAGGAGTCTGCCTCCTGGCACTGTAGTTGTGGCACACTGGGTGTGGGACTCAAGAGGCCCGCTGTAAGTGCTGGTTTCATTTCTCATAGATAGCCCTGTAAGTGGTCGTTTAGTGACTTGTGTGAAACTGCATAGAAATGAAGTTCCCATACTTTGATATTATGTTGATAACCTTTTCTTTGTAATTATACACAGGCTACTAAATTTGATTTTATAGCACTATCCTAAATCTATACCAGTGCTGGCTATTTACTTTAGTTTTAAATAAAAATAAAAACAGTTTTTTGCCACCTAATGAAAATACCAAGGAATACACAGAGCTTTTTTTTAAAATAAAAAGGACTTATAACAATATATGTAAAATATAAAAGGGCTAATTCATTTCTAAGATTAAACAAAAATAATCATGAAATGAATAATTTTTAGCACTGTGTATAATTTCATGAGCCATTGTTAGTTTGTGAATATATTTTTGTTAATAGTTTTTAATGAATAGTGCTATAATCACTGAAAATTTTCTCTAGTTTGTATGTTTGAAAATTTAGATCTCTGAAATAGTAAAGAAAAAACAGTTGGGAGCATTGTTTGATAGATGTGTTTTGCTTGCTTTTTTGGTATTTGTCTACTCCGTTCTTTATATGTGTGAGAGTTTTGGTGTTTTTACATCTATTAGATCTCTGGTTTTTTAGCAAATAGTAGCCTTAAAAGGAGTTTTTCTTTCCTATTTACCTCTAAGTAGACTTAAAAATACCGTATAAATTTGATTTTAATTATTATTTATTTGTCAATAGGTTGATATGAATTTCATGAGAAAAATTCCTTCGGGAGCTGAGGCATCCAATGTTCTGGTGGGAGAAGTAGACTTTTTGGAAAGACCTATAATTGCATTTGTGAGACTGGCTCCTGCTGTTCTCCTCTCAGGGTTGACTGAAGTCCCTGTTCCTACGAGGTAGAGTTAGTTCTGATTAACACTCTCAGCATGGCTCAAATTTAAAAAATTTTATCTATTGGTTAGAAGGAGCATTTTTGCTTTTAAAAGCTTATTTTAATTGTTAATATTGTCATTGCACCAAATGCTTTGACTAGTAGAGCATAAAAGAGTTATCTTTCTTTCTGGAATTAAAAACAAAAAGAGGGACGCCTGGGTGGCTCAGTGGGTTAAGCCGCTGCCTTCGGCTCAGGTCATGATCCCAGGTCCTGGGTTCGAGCCCCACATTGGGCTTTCTGCTCAGCAGGGAGCCTGCTTCCTCCTCTCTCTCTGCCTGCCTCTCTGCTTACTTGTGATTTCTCTCTGTCAAATAAATAAATAAAATCTTTAAAAAAAAAAAAAATAAAAAAATAAAAACAAAAAGAAAGCATCCTTTTAAAAAATAATTAGCATTTATACCTTTATAAGAGGTTTGGTGTTTTAGGAGCTTTGGTTTAAAAGGCAGCTCATCATTTTAGACCTATTATGTTCTGTGGAGTCAGAATGGAATTGAATCTTTGCTGGGCCACTTTTTCTGGGAAGGTCAAGCCTGACTTAAATTTCCTAAGCTTCATTTATAAAATGAAGATGTGATTACTTCATAGGGTTGATTAAATGTAATAAAATGCCTCTGAATTAGGTAAAATGCTTTGTTCTGACCTGACCAAAAATTTCTGTTCAGTATACATAAGAATTAGCAAGTTGTGTTACAGGATAATCAGTTTATTAGCTACTGACTATATAAATTTGATTGTAAATAAGAAGAATTTTAAGAATACTCAAAAAAATCATTTTTATAATAGTAAAGATGAAGAATTAATTGTAACTTGATTAGAGTATATGTGCCTATTTCTGGTATGTTTTCCTGGGTTACATTAATGGAATAGTATTAAGATAAGTGAGAAAAAGAATTCTGTAGATTCACATTTAAATTCTCATGAAACAAGAAGATGAGTACTTCCAATTTGGGTGTGAATATTAATATCTTACTGTAGTGTTAATGAGGATATAACTAAGTACGAAGTTAAATACTTTTTATTAGTCATTTATAAATAAATTTAAAAAATAAAATAATATGAAATTTGATGTTAAATTTGTGGAGTTGTGAATAAAAATTCTTTTTCCTTGCAGAGTTCCTTTTTTTTTTTTTTTTTTTTAAGATTTTTAATTATTTATTTGACAGAGAGATGAAGTAGAGTAGCAGGGAGAGGGAGAAGCAGGCTTTCTGGTGAGGAGGGGTGGGGCTCCATCGCAGGACCTTGGGATCATGACCTGAGCTGCAGATGCTTAACAGACTGAGCCACCGAGGCGCCCCTGCATAGTCCCTTATTTATCGCAGTAGAGTCTTTATCCAGACCATAATTTGAGGGATTATGAATTTTTTGTGTATACTCTGCGCTATTTTAATTAGGTAAACCTTACTTCTAAGTATTTAGTGGGATTGGTATTTCCATTATTCGCTAATTTACTTTTTCATCAGTAAAGATTAGATAAAATTGCTTATTCAGATTCAAAAGGTAAAGAAAATGGGAATTTTTATCATAAAACTCTCAATTCTCTAATTACTTTTTTACCCTAAAGAAGATGGGGAGCAGTAACTTGGTAGAAAGTTAATTATGAATGCCTTGCTTAGTTTTGTGGTCTGCTTTACTATGAGTAGATTGTCATCTTTTTCTCACTGATTAGTGTGGGAGGTGGGAAAGAGATCTGAACGTTGTTTCTGTGTTTACATTTGAATTATTTCTTTATGATTGCTTCGGTCTTTTTGTATATTTTTTTTTATTAAAGTCTGTGTATTTTAATGTTTCTTTAGATTTTTGTTTCTGTTACTGGGTCCCGCAGGCAAGGCACCACAGTACCATGAAATTGGAAGATCAATAGCCACTCTCATGACAGATGAGGTAATTAAAATGCCCCAAGAGGTAGATACTCATTATGAATATCATATTATAAAATCTCTTAGAAGTGGAATTTCAGATCCTTTTCAAGTGGGCACTGATTGTGAAACATACTCTAGTTTTCTTTTTCTTCATAGTGAAGCTTACAAAATTGTCCTTGCTGTCTGTACTGTTTTATATTATTACCTCTTCAACTATTTGCCTTTGGTAAGGTCTTTGAGACCTTTCTGTCAAGATCAGTGGATGCTTTTTGGTCTTTTTCTCTCCCTCCCCATCCCCCCGTATTTGAAGTTATTGGCCACTTTTTTGAAATTTTGTCCATCCTGCATTTCAGGATATCATTTCTTTGGGTTTTGCTCAGGATTTCGTCTTTTCCCCCTTCCTGCTTTTTTTCTCCATAATTTCTCTCTTCCGTTTTTGAACCTTTTCACTGAACATGACTTATATTGACCAGGACTGCTGTCTCTATTTGGGGCAGAGATTTGTAATTGTTAGACTTATTTATCATATCTAAAGTGGATTTATTATGTGTAGAATTTTCTTTCAGCTTTAAAATCCTTTTACCCATTTTTTTTTTTTTTTTGGTAGATTTTTCATGATGTAGCCTATAAGGCAAAAGACAGAAATGACCTCTTATCTGGAATTGATGAATTTTTAGATCAAGTAACTGTCCTACCTCCAGGAGAGTGGGATCCTTCAATACGCATAGAGCCACCAAAAAGTGTTCCTTCTCAGGTAAGAATCTACACAATTCTGTGAATTACTTTTTCTTAGTTAAAATGTTTTTGAATTGAATATCATTCAGAAATCAAAACTATATATAAAAATGTACACTCAGAGAAGGTGTACTCCTACCTTATTCCATTTACCTTCTTATAAAACCCTATACCCACCTCCTGTGAGAGGGCCATTTGTTACTAGTTTTTTATTTATCCTTCTAATTTTCATTCAGTACAAGGAAATATGAATATAGTCCTATTTCTTCCTCTTTCTTACCAAAAGTTAGCATACCACATGGATTGTTCTGCACTTTGCTTTTTTCATATGACAATATATCCTGGAGATTCAATCATAATATATCCTAGAAATATTTCTCATTTTCTCACAGCTTTGTTATGGGTCATTTATGGATATCCCGTAGTTTGTGCTTTTCCTGGGCTTAGGCTTTTGCTTTTACAAAGCCTAGAACAGTGTTGATATGTCAATTTAGTCTTATGAAGGTGTATTTGTAGGGTAGATTCCCAGAAATAGGATTGCTGGCTCACATGGGAACTTACTTATAATTTTAGTCGATATTACCAGAATCCCTTCTTACTGGGTTGCACTGTTGTGGACTCCCACACTGATGAAGGCCTTTCCCTACAGCCTCACTAACTGTGTTGTCAGACTTTCAGTATTTATCAGTCTGATAGCTATCTTTATCCTACTTTGTCAAGTACTTTAAAGTGGTTTTAATGTACATTTATGTAATTAGTGAAGTTGAATATTCTTGGTTATCTATAGTTCATCACTCCAACCCCCCTCAAAAAAAACACCTTTTCTTAGTATTGAACTCACTTGTTGATCCTTTGGAATTTATTATGGTGTATTACATGGAGTATGCATCCAAGTTTATTTTTCATCTAAATTTTTAGCTGCCTTTTTGTTCTAGCATATTAAAAAGTTAAGTGTTAAGTGCTGCTGCCTTATGTTTTCTAAATTTCCATTTTCATTCAGGTCTGTTTCTGGAATTTCTTTTCCATAGCCTGTCTATTCATGGACCAGTTCCACACTTTAATTTCTGAGGCTTTTTAGCATATATGAATATCTAGTAGGTCTAGATTCCCTCTTGACCTATTACTCTTTCTTTTCTGAATTTTCTTTGCTGTTTCTGCATGTCTATTTTTCTATGAAAGCTTTAAAATCAGCTTTTAATTTCCAGAAATAAAACCTGATTTTTCAAAAATTGTGAAATTTGTAAATGAACTGAGGGAGAATTGACATCTTTGTAACATTGAATCATTCAAGAATATGGTATGTTTTCCCTCACTTGTTTTCCTATTTCAAGTCAGTTCTTAAGTCCTTAAGGAGTGCAATAAAGTTCTCCTTATCTACGTTTACACACTTCTTGGTGAGTGTATTCATTAGCATTTTGTCTTTACTGTCTCTGTTGTAAATGAGGGTTTTTTCCATTATATCACCAGTTTGTTACTTTTATATATGAATGCTATTTGTTGCTGTATGTTTCTTTTTGATCTTCCTCCCTTCTAGTTCTTTCATTGTATGTAAGTTTTTCAGTCATATCATCTGCAGTCAGATATTTTTATCCCTCCTTTTCTCATTCTTCCAGCTCTAATACATTTTCTATTGTCTAATTGTACTTACTGAAACTCTAGTAGTGTTAAGTGGTAGTTGACTTGAAATGGGCATTTCTTTTCTTTTTTTTTTTTTTAAATTAATTTATTTAATGTAGCGAGAAAGAGAATACTCCTGTGTAGATGTGAGTAGAGTGGGGTGGGATAGAAGGAGAGGGAGAGAATCTCCAGCAGACTCTGCTTCATCTCGTGACACTGAGACTGGGACCTGAGCTGAAACTCAGAGCTTAACTCACTGAGCCATCCAGGCACCCCTAAATGGGCATTTCTGAATTTGTTCTGAACTGTAGTCCATTTTTTTTTTAAAGATTTTATTTTTTAGTTGACAGACAAAGATCACAAGTAGGCAGAGAGGCAGACAGAGAGAGATGGAGAAGCAGGCTCCCCGCTGAGCAGAGAGCCCAATGCAGGACTCGATCCCAGGACCCTGGGATCATGACCTGAGCTGAAGGCAGAGGCTTTAACCCACTGAGCCACCCAGGTGCCCCTGAACTGTAGTCCATGTTTTTAATGTTTCTCTCATTAAGTCACTGACATTGGGGGCCAAAATACACATTTTTATCATGCTAAGAAAGTATCCTAATTTTTGTTTCATTGAAATTTTTAATATAAGTGGATGTTAAATTTTTTCGAATAGCCTGTTAGCATCTCTGGAGATGATTGTATGAATTTTATTTACCGATTATTGTGGTGAACCATAGTAAAGGAGTATATAATACGAAAACACTCTTATGTTGATAGAATAAGCCCAGACTCAGCTTCAAAGTGCTGGTTGTCTCTAATTTTTTTTTTTTTAAAGATTTTATTATTTATTTGTCAGAGAGAGTGAACACAGGCAGACAGAGAGGCAGGCAGAGGCAGAGGGAGAAGCAGGCTCCCTGCTGAGCAAGGAGCCTGATGTGGGACTCGATCCCAGGACCCTGGGATCATGACCCGAGCCGAAGGCAGCCGCTTAACCAACTGAGCCACCCAGGCGTCCTGTCTCTAATATTTTGTTTGAGTTGTTTGCATCACTGTAAGTAGATTAGTTTTCAGTATTTTGTGCTGTCTTTATTCACTCTTTGACATCTTTGTTACATTTGTTTCATAAAGGTAAATTTGTAAATTTTCCTTTCCTTGTGGTGTCAAAACTTTAAATGGCTTGGAATGATTTGGTTCTAGAAATTTGGAAGAATTCCTTTGTAAAGTGTTCTGAGTCTGAGTCTTTGGTTGTGTGGTGGGCTTCAGCAATATGCTTATTTCTTCTGTGGTGATTTGCTTGTGTAAGCTTTCTGTTTTTTTCTGGGGTCAGTCTTAAGTTTTCCTAGAACATTACCTATTTCCTGTTTTTCTGGTGTCAGTTTTGGGAAATTATGTATTATTTGTGTATTACCCATTTCATCAAGGTTTTTTAATTTATTTGCATAACATTATACAGTATAGTCTGTGTGTGTGTGTATGTGTTTAGAAAATTTTCCTCAGTTTGAAGTTGCCTCCTTGTCATATCTTTTGCTGAGTATTAGCTAATGGTTTATATTTTTTCAAATAGAGCAGCTTTTACAACTTATTTCATTTTTCCTTTTTAAAAAAAGCATTTTGTGGCTCAGTTTCTGCTTTTAGCTATTTTATTTCATTCCATTCACTTCAGGAAAGAATTTTGTTTTTACATTTCCTGAGTTAGATATTTAATTTATTTATTTTTATCCTTTCATTTTTCTTAATATAAGTGCTTAATTTTCTTGAGTGATGCTTTTGCTATATCGCATAGATTGTGTTACATAGTATTTTTCATTATTTTTGTTTTTTAGGAATTCTATAATTTTGTTCTCTCTTTCCCCTTTGAGCTAGGATATGTTAGTTTTAATTTATTTTCAAATGGTAAACATACAATTATAGATAAGTTTTGCTACTGAACATATAAACCAAGTAGTTTAAGTTTGTAGTTTACTCAGAGCTTTTGACTCAGGGGATATCCAAGGATGAACACTCCTCCCCCACCTTTCTCTCTTTCTTCTGTTTTTCTTTTTGTCTCCTTCCCTCTTGCTCCCTGTGTCACATACAACCTTTCACCCCTAGAAGTAACAAATTAGAAGTTAGCTTTTTTATCTTCAGGAGAGGGGGGCAGGGACATCCTTTATCATAAGAATCTTGAATTAGTAATAAGGTTTATGGGAAATTTATTTTTATGAAAATGTGTTTAACAGAGAACTCTTGTATTAATGTCTTCAGGGAAATAGTTTGATAAAATAAATATGGCATTTACTTTTTTATTAATGTAATAATACTTTGCATTAGCATGAACAGTATTTTAAATATTCTGGTTGGAGAGATGCTTTATTGGATGTTTATTTTCCTATGGCTGATTCATAATTTGAAATAGTGTATATGAATGTGTTTCATAGTGTATTTGATATTAAAATACAAAATATAAAAAGCCAATCATAAGCGTAAAATACTAATAGAGACAAATATTAGACGCTATTCTAAAGTGCAGTTTATTTAAAGTGGAGTTTATATTAGGAATCATTTTTTCTAGGAGTACTGATTAGATATGTAAACAACATAAGATCTCCTATTCCCTCTAATTCAAGGGTACCGTCTTAGCTTTTTAAAAACAGAATTCTGAAAATGTGTTTTTTGTGAAATGCAGGAAAAGAGAAAGATTCCTGTATTTCCCAATGGATCTGCCCCCAGCTCAGGTGATACTCCTAAAGAGGCCGACCACCATGCTGGGCCTGAGCTACAGAGGACTGGACGGTGGGTACAAATACTGATTCAGTGTGGGAGTCTTCTTGGGGGCTAGGGGTTGATTTGATGAAGAAGGCATAAAAATTCTCTTTTTCTTTTTAAATATATGGAAGTTAGTCTTACACAGTGTTTTTTTCATATTTAAAAAAGTATTTTGTAAATGTATGATGTTAAGGAAAATTATTCATTTTAAAATAAATTTACTAGTATATACTTGGATTTTGAGTATCAGGTTTTAATTTAAAGTGAAAATATTATGGATCATACAGTAAGAATATCAAGCAGTTACATAGTATATAGGGTGATTTACATTACCCATACAGAAGGTTCTTGAAGAAGGTGTGGAGTGCTATTAAAATTCTCCATATGAAGGTAGAGAATTATAGGAATAGAGAGGAATTGTAACTGATATTTTCTGTGTGTGTGCCTACACTTAAAACTCTTAAATGAGCATTATATCATGAGATAATGTAAAATTAGAGAGTGAAGCATAATTAAACCATGGTAATAAGCTTTAGAAACCTAGCTAGAAAAACTATTAAAGATGATAATTTTTGCAATAAATACAGAAATATTGCTGGGTGCAAACATTGTCTTAAAATATTTTGTAGAAGTAGAGAAATGTTACAGTATTTCCATACCATAGCAAAGCATGTGGATATTTATATTGTTATCTATTGGTGGTGGTGTGAACAGAAGAGATTTTGAATCTTAAATATTTGTTTAGCAAATCAAGTTATTTTATACAGAAACATTATTAGGTGGCATTGATGACATGCCTAAAGAATACTATATAGAAGAAAAATAACAAATGGCATCCTGAATATAAAATTTAGAGAAACTTAAAACTTACAGTTTATTCATTGCCTAATGTATTATAATCTCTATCATAGAAAATAATCTCTGTAGAATATATATGAGATAGTCTCTATCATAGAGAATAAGATTGCCCTGGTGCGGAAAGTGGTGGTCTAAAACTACCTGTTAGCGTTATTTCTTTAGATCTCTGACTGAGATCGGGTTAGTGACTGAGAAATACCAAGTAGGACTCCCATTGATTTCATGGTCACACAAGAGCCTCCTATAAAATATAAAAGAGTTGTTGATTTGAATATACAGTTTCATTTTCTAGATTGGCACCTTTTTTATTGCAAGTTGATTTCCCTTGCTGTCAGATTATTTATAGAGTAACTTATACTTGTCAATGTGTGTTTAGTATTTATTTCAGTATTAACTTTAAAAAAAGGTAGAATGATAAACCTTGAAACATCCAAAGCATTTTAAAACATAAGATTAATTTTTTGGTGTATTTTCTACAGAGTGATTGTATGTTTATGAGTCACAAAACCTTTTTGAATTACTGAGTTGTCTCTAGTATTTACTGAGTACCTACTATGTCCTAGACAGTGTTCTGACACTGGTGATAAAGGCAGTGAACAAGAAAAAGCCTCTACCCCTCACAGAGCTTATATAAGATGTATCCAAGAGTCTGATTAAAAAAAAACAAAAAACACATTAAAATGATAAGGCTTTAATGTGGAAATACAGATTTTAAATTTCCTAATTAAAAAACCTCTTAGTTTTACTAATGTGCACATGAACTTGAGTATATATTCAGTAAATTAAATGCTTTGAAGTGGTTTTTAGGCTTTTCTCCTGGACAAGAAATACTTATGTTATTGAGATACTAATTTTAAAAGTCTTTAGAATTATTTAATTCACTACTGACTGAGTTTAAGCACAACATACTATATTCATATTAAAGGGTATTTGGGGGACTTAGGATTTATATTATAATTACCTTCCTGATATTTCTGATATTTGCCTTTAAGATTTATAATGTAGATAATAACTGATAGAATTGCTTATGCTCATTTTCATGAATGGAGTGTTAGGTCTTACTTATTTTATTGTATATTTTCTTGTGCATTTGTGTCTGAAATTACATTTACTCATATAAAATCATTTGCCTGCAGTCTTCTTAATATATAGTCCATAAAATACAGATGTTTATGTGTCTTTTAACTTAATGAGATCTGCCTTTCCTCTATCAGTGGATTAGACTAAATGAGTGTATCTTCTATAATTTATATCATGATTTAAATAGGATATTAATTTTTGTTGACGAAACACTAGGCACCAGCAGTTTTATGTAGCCCATAGTTTTAGTGTGAACTAGCTAGAATCCTCTAGTGTACAGTTTGACGAGTTTCATCTCACCTATTTAGGCTTTTTGGTGGTTTGATACTTGACATCAAAAGGAAAACACCTTTTTTCTTGAGTGACTTCAAGGATGCATTAAGTCTACAGTGCCTGGCCTCGATTCTTTTCCTATACTGTGCCTGTATGTCTCCTGTAATCACTTTTGGAGGGCTGCTTGGAGAAGCTACAGAAGGCAGAATAGTGAGTACAAAGATTGGTAGTGGCCAGGCTCTTAGCTCTTCAGAGGCAAGTGTGTGTATGCATTTGTCTCACTATTCATACTTTCATTTGAAGAGTCTACCCCACAGCATGATTAACCTGTCCCAAAGCAGACTTCCCCCAAAGGTAATTGCTATGGAAAACATGGGGAAGCCATTTGAGCAGGAGAAGATGCACAGTTGAGGTAAAAAATAAATAAAGAAAAAAAAAAAGAGAAAAAAAAGAAAAAAGGTTAACCTGGCTTGCTGGATGAATGGTTTTATAAATTGAGTAAAAGGCTTGTACTGTCTTTGTTGTGGGGAGTGGGGAAGGGTTGCCTGTGGGAGACAAGTTGAACTGATGCCTGGTGGGTCATGGGTGGGGGGATTTACTAGCAGGGCTACTTGATACTCTGTAAGGCATCATAGGATAGTTAGAGCTGTGCAATTATTAACTCATCAGCCCTGGTGGCTAGGCCCTGACTCTACAACTAGTCTTCAGAAGTTGTAGACAAATGGTGGATTTTTAGTGTTATTTTGCTGTTACTAAATTTGTGTGAAGGTAGATAACATTTTAATTAGAAAGTATAACTGAAAACTGCACCCATATTTTGATATGACTAAAATGAAAGTTTTTATGATTTTTTTGTTCTTGGTAATGCTGTATAAGGGGCTGTGGGAGGCATGATAACAGAGTATCCAGTGCTTTGTAAAATGTTGAAAGACTAATTTTTTTGTTTATATACATTTTAACGGCATGTAAATGAGATTATTTGTAATTCTTGAGTGTATTTTATTTAATTGTATTTACTCTTGGGAGGAAATTCATTTTTTACAGATAAAAGATTTAAAAAATAGCCAAAAACTAAGTAATGATAATTAAAATACTTCATGAGCTGAACCTGAGACAAACTTGACAACTGAAATTTCCTTGAAACTATACTGGTTTTGATTATTTAGATTCTTTTACCTTATTCTACAGTAATTGTATCAAGGGAATCTATTTTTAGTAAGTTGCTTTTATATGCTGTCTCAAACTGTACATGTAACTCTGCTGGTCCCCTGGATATGTGTCTTGTCTGTTACCATCACGGAAATGCTGCTTGCTTTTCGACTGTCCAGCACTGCCTGCCCTTCTCGTCCTGCTGTTTAGTACCGCATGCATGTGGGAGTGCTTGAGGCATTTGGGGAATGCAGACAGCTGTGAGATGGACCATAACCGAAGAGAAGAAGATAACATAGTGTATATGTAGGTAACAGGTCATGGTGTGCTGTGCCACATGTGAGTGAGATCAAGGAAGAGCTGTAGCAGCTGAAGTACCAGGAACAGAGAAATCAGTATTGCAGAGGAGAGTGGTGGGGAGATTATGCATTTGCTTTCAGGTGCTTTATTGGAACCTCAAGTAGGAGGTACAGTTCCAGAGTTTGTAGAGTGGCAAGGAGGAAAAACGAAGGTTGGGAATAGATGAGGTTAACAAGGGAGAGATTTTACAGTGACTGGAGAGGAGAAAAAGTGGGAAGTTACATTTGTGGACTAGAGGAAGAATGAGAATGAGGAGGAAAATGGCAAATTAGACATGGGCACTGTCAGAACTTCAAAAGAGGAATCACCATGATGTGATTTTGCAAAAACCAAAATAGAGGCTTTGAGAAAGAAAGAGGAAAGAGAAATGTGGAGTGGCCAGTGCCATGCAGTGGAGAGGTGTATGGGGAGGATAACGGTAGGGCTTCTGATGGCTACAGTGGAAACTTGTGAATGTCACGAGGGGAAGGCAGGGTGGTGGGGCAGTGATTTCTTTAGGGAGAGAGACCTTTCAGTTTGGGAATGAACATAAAGTCAGTTGAGACAAAATTAGAAAAAGAATAGATCTGGGTAAAGGAGCTAGTGAATGTGACAATAAGAGGTTGGGAGAGCAGTGGGGGAGTGGTGAAGGGAAGGTCTTCATCTGGCAGGTTCTGCCTTTTCAACGTGATTTTTGGAAGGAAAACTGTAATTTTGTGCCTATCCCTCTCACCCCCCCCCCCCGCCGTTAGCATTTCTTTGCCATCTCCTTGGTTCTCTTCTGAATTTTCTGCTTTCTATCTCTGTAGACATTTAGACATTTTTTTCTTTGACTTGAGCTCTACTTAAATTCATTCCTAAATTATACAGTCTAATTGAACTAAGGATTTTATAATGGCTTAGCAGTTAATATGGACACTTTGTCTTGCCGAAAATATGTGAGTTTGATCCTGTTTTTATAGTAATAGTTGAGTAATGCTTTTACTGCATACTATTATTTTTGTGATTTTGATTTTGGAAGACGTTGTTATTTCTGATGATGAGATTTACTGCCATTTACTGAGTGCCTTCGTATGGCAGCCTGTAAGCTTGCTAGGTGTTTGCCCAAACACGGCTTCCTTAAGTTCTCTTGGCTTTGGTCACTCCTGTTTAAAAAAGAGAAAGGTTGGGCTTGAAATGTTTGAGATACGGCTATGGCTTAAAGTCTAGTAGAAATGGGTCTCCTGCTTCAGTCTGGTTCTGAAGCCCACTCTTGCCTGCTGCTCTGCTGCCTGCTAGGTCCAGGAGGGGTGTTTCTCATGAGCTGCTTTTCCTTGCCTTACCAACGACGGGCTTTTCTTCTCTTGAGAGTGCCTTCCAGTTGACCTTGATGTTTGTAAATGGTAAATTGCTCTTCTCTCTCTGATCCCTCCCCTCTGTCTAGTGGCATAGGCTGTACCCCTTACTGTCTAATAACCTAATCAGTTAGAAGGTAATGTTGGTAGTGGTACAGAAACGAAATGCTCACTTTAAGTAAAACTCTCCTGAGGCTTTCATTTTCTTATTTTATCTTTTTTAACCACCTCTTCATTTAATGGTTGCTGTGAGTTTTTTAAAGAGATTTTCCATCTATATTAGGATAAAAGCATTTTATTTTTGATATCTGTTAGTTAAGCCCATCATATAAGATGAATTTCTTTAAAATGTGTAGAAAATTGCTTTTTAGAAATCATTTTGAGAACGATAGCATCAGTTGTTAATTTCTGATTTATTTACTTGAAAGTGTTTTTGTGCACACCATATGGAATATTTAATGTTTTCTGTTTTTTTTTAAGTGAACTATTTCAGACATAACAAAAACACCCAAAGTAACAAACGTCTTTGTACTCCCCACAAACTTAAAAAATGAAATACCTATAGATAGAGTTAAAATCTCTCTACCTCTCTTCCACTTACTCCTCCCTCCTGGCCTCCCACAATAATATGTTTTGAATAAAGGTTGATTGTAAAAGTTCACTTTTAATATGAAAACAAAGCAGTTTTCCCTATGTATTTAAAATGTATTTGTAATTTTCCATATTTAAAATTTAAATTTGACTTAAAAGTTGTGTCTGCTTTATATTTTTAACTGCTTGTTTAGTATTTTTATTTTCCAGATGTCTTATATGTATATATTTTAGTAGGTTAGAGATAGGTTTATGATGTATTACTTCTATTCATTTCTTTTTTCCTTAAACAGAGTGCAATAGAGTCTCTTTTTGGAGCATCATTAACTGGGATTGCCTATTCGTTGTTTGCTGGGCAACCTCTAACAATATTGGGGAGCACAGGTCCAGTTTTAGTGTTTGAAAAAATTTTATTTAAATTCTGCAGGTACGTAATTGTTATTTACTTATCATATGTGTATAATTACATTGTTTATTAACTTTAGTTAAAGGTACTTTATGTATTTAGTAGCTAAAAAAGAGGACCTGATCAGTATATATTTTTTCAGCATTTTGGGGCTACCATGTAGTTGACCCTACTCTGGTCCCTACTATCATTCCTACCCCAGTCACCTTGAGTATAAAATCAGTGGATTTGAGTCCTGGTCAACAAATCACTTGGGCAGTAAGAATCTTATGTTCTAGCAAATTTCAACCCACTAAGAAAGTGTTAAACTAATTGTTGATTAGTTGGTATGTTGGTCGTACAAAGGAATTTTAAAAAGAGGTGGATCTTGGAGGCTAAAGCTGACTTTATCAGGCCTTATCAATCAGACAGCCATAGCTATCTGTGTGTGTTGTCAGTCTCCACTGGCCGGGTCATTCACAGTGGGAATCAGTGCATGGTACTATAGCTGGTAGACTTGGAATTTGACATGGCCAGTACTGTTCCTTTTGTGAGACAAGTGTAGTTGAATATTTTAGCCTGAAACAACTTAAATTAAATTATTAAATATTTGATTCATCTAACTCATCTTGTTCTGATTCTTTGTTCACTGAACAAGCTGATTTTGATTCCAGTCTGGCATACTAAGTACATAGACTAAGAGGGAATGCAGTGTCCTGAAGTCTTCTAGACCCTGTGGTCTTAAAGTAATTTCTTACTTGACACTGAGTTTAAAAAATGAAGTCACTTCCTGCAGTGACACTGGTGGCAGGAGGGATGGTATTGGTGGTGGTGGTGAAGGGGACAGGGATGTGGTTACCATGTTGACAGAGTTTCTGGGTCTTCAGAGAGTCACATCCAGTTGTCCTATAGAATGTACATCTGTCATTTACTCCTTAGAACTGATTTCAAAGTGAGGTCTTTGGTTTTGGAATGTTAATTACCTGGTAGACTTTCACTGTAAATCTTTTGTATAGGTAAAATATAATCATTATAATTTTGTAATCTTCAGTTATAAAAGAAATGTACAGACAGCTTTCTTTATTTGTTATTTTTATCCGGTAATTTGCTCTTTTTTAAGGGATCTTATGTTTCCATACTCTTTTTATTGCCTGTTATGAAATTTTAATTAAAGATATCCATTGCCATGTGTGTATGTTGATCATGTCCATGTTTTTTCCCTAAACAGAGATTATCAGCTTTCCTATCTGTCGTTAAGAACCAGTATTGGTCTGTGGACTTCTTTCTTGTGCATTGTTTTGGTTGCAACAGATGCGAGCAGCCTTGTGTGTTATATTACTCGATTCACAGAGGAGGCTTTTGCGGCTCTAATTTGCATCATATTCATCTATGAGGCTTTGGAGAAGCTCTTTCATTTAGGAGAAATATATGCATTTAATATGCACAACAATTTAGATGAACTGACCCACTACTCGTAAGTGTATTCCGTTTTCCCCAGTATTAAAATGTATTTTACATTTACATGCAGAGATGTCTGAGCCAAAAAAAGGAATTTTTTTGCATTGTGATGCTCATTGTATATCTAGCTGTAACTACCCAACTAGCTATATGGAGGTTGACTTGTTTGTTACAGATGAGATTTTACCAGAGCACTCCATGAATGTAGATACAGTTGAACAAATTCAATCATTTTTATTCCCTGAAACAACTTATTCAAGTGTGTGTATTTTTGGTCTTCTGTTTGAATTGAATCAGTCAATTTAAATTTAATTGGTAACCACCATCTATTTGAATCAGGCAATTATATTAGATCTTGTATTCTTTAGCCAAATCCTGAAGTAGGATGTAATATTTCTTATATTTTTCTTTTTCTTTTTTATATATATTAAGATTTTATTTATTTTTTTGGGAGAGAGATGGATGGAGAGAGCATAAATGGGAAGGAGAGGGAGAAACAGGTTCCTCGCTGAGCAGGGAGCCTGAGGCAGGGCTCCATACCAGGACTCTGGGAGCATGACCTGAGCCGAAGGCAGACGCTTAACCAACTGAGTCACCCGGGTACTCCTCTGTTTCTTACATTTTTTGCATATTGCATTTTCATTAACATTTTTAAGTCTGATAATTTTTATTTGAAGTCTGATAATATTTATTTTAAAGTATAATTTCAGTATACTCTCATGTGCAATATTTGGTGTAGTACTTGTGATAAGAAAATCATGAATTGAAAATATTTAAAGACTCTAGAATAAAATAAGATTTGAAAAGTAATTATAATAGTTACAAATGGTTGCCAAATATATTCAGTAAAGTCAAATAGGTTGTTAAAATTAAATGTATCTAGGTAGATAGAGACCTATATTTGCTGTTTTGAGCAGTCATGCTTGGTGTAAATGTGATCCTGGATTTGGTTGACTTATATGGAGAAAGTGGTCACCAACAAACAGGGGTACAATTCCCTCCTTCTGCCTACTCAAGTCTCAAATCCCTGTGTTCTCCCCTTTCCCTCCATCCCTTCCTTGCATACTCAACTTTGATAGACAGGGTAGGGAGGGGTATGAAAATTTCTATGAGACATTGACCTATTTGAGGAGAAGAGAGACACTCTGATGCCAACTCTGTTTAGTGCTATCATCTTTGCTCTTAAACTAGTTAATTTTTTAAGTGTTATTCTTGTTTTTTTCCTCTTTCCTGTTCCTTTGATCTTTATGAAGCGTGGCTTTTATAGCTAGTGCCAGCCTATCAGAACAGTATTTGCTTCTGGTTAACTGAGTAATTACATGTGATCATGATTCGGTCAGCTGACATCCTGTGAGCATTTGCAGGTACTGTGTTAGCAGTGTTGCATAATTCATATCACATGTGACTTGATTATTCGTATCATAGCCCCTTTTGCATATGAAGAAACTGAACCTCATGGAGGTTAAAACCTGCCTTGAGTCAGCTAGTAAATGATAGAGCATGGAATGAATCCAAAGTCCAGCCTCTTGCCTGTGTTCAGAACAGCTCATAATCTAACTGGGAATATTCCTGTGTGTTTCTCCTTTTTATTTTTTATTATTTTTTTCTTTTTCTTTTTAAAATTCACATTTAGAGATTTCTCTGTGTGTGCTTCTAGCTTATCTTTAGATGAGATAGTTCTGGATATAAACTGAACTCTGTGATCTCCTTATGACCTTCCTAGTCCTGTCCTGGTGAAAAATCATGTTACTTTATTTCTGTAAGAATGAATCTTAAGATCAGTGAAGGATGAACATGAGTAGGCAGGGCTTGTCAGAGTACAAAGCATTAATAGGAGTATCGCTTTATTGGGAATCTGTGTGTTTTGTGTATGTGTGGGTCGGAGGCAGAACAGCTCCCCTGAGGGTTAAGTAGGTAAGATTTAGTGGAGAGTAACCTTGCTAAACATGGTGGTATCTTGTCATATTTTTAAAGAAAATAGTATCCCTCCCCAAGGGATATATGTAACAGGTTTCATTAAGGTACTCTGTAAAATATCATTGTATTGATATTTGTATATTAATTATGTTTTTATATACATAGGCCAAATCTTTTTCCCTTCCATTGTTTCTGATGTGTTTTCACTTTTTAGTCTCCATGCATTGCAGCATGGGAAAAAAGTTTAATTAAAAGCTACCACAGGGGCACCTGGGTGGCTCAGTGTTTTAAGCGTCTGCCTTCAGCTCAGGTCCTGATCTCAGGGTCTTGTATCTAACCCCATGACTGGGTTCCCTGCTCAGTGGGGAGTCTGCTCCTCCCTCTCCGATTGCCCCTCGCCCCAACACGTGCACATGTGCTCTCTCTCAAATAAATAAGATCTAACAACAGCAACGAAAAGCTACCACATTGTGTGATTGACTTAATAAAATGTAAACATGAAATGCAGGACCCTTAAAATTTTATCCTGTTCTCATTTCTCAGATGTGTATGTGTTGAACCTCCTAAACCTAGCAATGAAACTCTAAAAATATGGAAGGAAAAGAATTTAACAGCAGATGATATTTTCTGGGGGAATCTCACTGTTTCTGTGAGTACATTATAAAATAAAGGATTTTGCAAACATTAACCTAGTTCTTTAGCTTTTTATGAGTAGACCTACATTTTCCTCTTGATCAGTAGGTATGGTGTGTTTTCAGAGTGTAGTGTTGTGCTGAGCAGACAGGAGTTACCACATGTTTATGTATTATGTGGTGAAAAGTGTAGGCTGGGAAGAGTGAACCTGGTAAGGGGGATAAAAATGAACTAAATGTGACTTCCAAGATTTAATTAATTAAAAAGTGTGAATATACTTCTGGTTTCTAACTCCATGTAGATTGTAGATTGATAAATTCAAAGAAAGTGTTTACTAGGACTGTGGTTGAATATACTGGGGTTGATAGAACAGTCCACATCCATTATTCTGTTCTCTGTGTATCAGTTTATCTCCTCCATGAACAGCTTATTTAGAAGATCACGAATCCTTTCCTAATGTCCTCGATATCAAACTGAACTTGGTTTAACTGTGGCTTAGTAGTCTACTCTGTAGTCTAGTCTGTAGAAACTAGTGTAACTTAAGCACCTAAAAAGGGAAACAGGACAAAAACACGTAATGAGCACCTGCTGTGTACTGAATACTACCACATGTTCTTATAATGTTGTTTTGGCCATAGAGTATCTGTTCAGGGCACTTCCCAGATTGGGCTTTGGTATTAAGGTATAAAGTGATTCTGGCAATATCAATTAAAATCAAGAGCTCTTGAGCTTCTCTGGTGCTTTTTATATCATATAAGATATTATAGGTCATTGTTTTCTCACTAAAGATATAGTTATATTATTGGAAGGGTATCGATATATAATTGGAAGGGTGCCATCTGCAATTTTATCTCACTAATAATTTAAGTCTGTATGGTCCACTACAGTAGCCATTGGCCAAATGTGTCTAAATTTAAACCAATTAATTAATTTAAATTTAAATTAATTTAAATTTAAATTAAATACAATTAATTAGAAGTTCAGTTCTCAGTTGCACTAGCCATGTTTCAAGAGCTCAGTCAGTTCGTGTGGCTGCTACATTGGACAGTGGAGATATAGAGCATTTCCATCAGCACAGAAAGTTCTGTAGGACAGTGCTGATTTAGAACATATTTATAGATCAGTAATCAACCTAGATTAATGCTTCACTGTTTTATTAAAAAGTCAGTTTTGCTACAAAAGAGTTAATAGAGGTGCTCAAATGAAAGTTATCTGTTAAAAGAGACCTCATACCATGGTGAATAGGAGGTCTTGATACTACAGATAAAGGTCTTCTGCGTTTGTTTTCTTGATATTCAAAAGGCCCACAGTTTTTGTTTTTGTTTTTGTTGGTTTTTTATACTTACAGCTTTTATTTTTGTGATCCACGTTGTAAATCTGTAGCTGTACTAATCTCAGCAATTAGAAATTAAGAATAATGGAACCTTTGACTCTTTCTCTCTTGGTAAACCTGAGTTGTGTTTGTTAAAATGAGTCTCCTTAGAATATAAGTAACATTAGTGATATGTATCATTGTTAATCTCTGGTTGCCTTTCAGTACTTTTTCCCCAAGAGGAAAATTAGGTCAATAGAAAATTACATTATATTATGCCATATAATTGATGAAGATTTTTTAAAAATAGAATTACTATTCGAATGATTGCTCTGCTGCAACTAGTCCCATGCTTCAAACCCATGGTTTTCAGTTAAGTCAGAAAAGCCACCCGGTTTTTATTCCTGATTTGAATTTAGCACTGTAGCCATTCCTTATTCAGCATTGTAAGTAGATGCAGTAGCGATTTTCTGTTGGTTGCTTTTGTTTTAAGCAACTTGTTTGGAAATAAAGAAAAGATAGTAAAATTGTGGATCAGCAAGAATGCATACAATATATGTGAGAATTACTATGCACTCCTAGACATTCACTAAAGGGAATATGGAATTGAAAGGATTGTGGGGTATAACTTGGCAAAACACTGTATTTCAGTTCAGTGACTTAAGATACACATGTTTTTCAAACTGTAACATCTCTGAACTCAGAGTATATCTTATAGTTGATGATGTGTTAAAGTTGACTTGGCAGTATTTTTTCTTTCTAAGTGAAATATAAAATAATGGCATGTCTTCAGTCACTAGGATCTTTGAGTCAGTGGAGTTCATTGATAATTTATTAGATACCTGAGAATCTTCTTCATTTTCTCCTTTTTCTATTTTTTTTCCTCCTTTTTCCCCAGGAATGTAGAACCTTTCATGGTGTATTTGTAGGATCAGCTTGTAGTCTTCATGGCCCTTATATTCCAGATGTGCTCTTTTGGTGTGTCATCTTATTTTTCACAACGTTTTTTCTGTCTTCATTCCTCAAGCAGTTTAAGACCAAGCGGTATTTTCCTACTAAGGTAATTGGGGTGTGGTTTTGGGAGTCCTGATAGTATTCATGTTTTTAGTTTTTGTTACCTTGATTTTTTTCAGAACAGTAATACATTGTTTGGGGTTAATATTTGATACCAAATAGTGGTAAAGAACTTATTTATAGTGAAAAATGTATATCACATTTCTGAACTAACAGTAGGAACATAATGGTATCATGAGGAATGGGATGGTAGTAGTATGTTAGTTGTGAAATGTGTTTTGTCTCTTTTTGAAAAGATATTAGATATAAATGTATTTCATGGGCATGTCACTAATTAAAAACCTTATTCACACTTTCTAGTGGCATATTTTAATCTGAAAGGTGAGAATTATTTAGAAAAGACACATAGTTTCTCTGTGTTTATTTTAACATAATTCCTTTAATATAGGTGCGATCGACAATCAGTGACTTTGCTGTATTTCTCACAATAGTAATAATGGTTGCAATTGACTACCTTGTAGGAGTTCCATCTCCTAAACTTCATGTTCCTGAAAAATTCGAGGTAAGAATTAAAATATTTGGTTATTTGTTACTTGGGAATACCAAACTATTTTAAAATTAGACACTTTATAGAAATATATATTTCTCACATACATAAAAGGTGACAAGATGTGAAGAGACAAGTGAACCTATTTAGGAAGTAAGCAATAAGGTATCAAAGTTAGTCCTATCAGGGATAGTGAATGAAAATACCCATGGTACTTGGGAGTCATTTAAAAAAATTTGACCCTGCTGTTGTAGCTGGAGTTCATGATGTATTTTCCAGGCGAAAGAAACATTTTTTATTCCTTCATAAGGAAGTGACTCAAACTTGAATTTAGAATTGTAACAAGGAGATCCTAGTTATTAGTAGGGTAGTGTTATCTGACAATAAATGGAATTCTCCATGTCTCATTTTCTAGCAGAATGAGGAGAGAATTAAGCGTATTTTTCCACAAGAAGAATGATACCTATGTGACCATCCATAAACCCTTTGCATTCATCAGTAGCCTGTAGCTATGTTGTGCATAATATAGCATATGCATAACATACATTCAAAAATTGTTTTCCCTTTTAAGTAGGAGTTGATAGCTTTTGAATAGTTTCTGGAATTTCTTATAGTTGAGTATTTGTGTCACTGGTTATGTTTATCTTTATAGCAAATTATATGACTTATTTTAAAAACAGAAGGTCTAAAGGGGATTAGAAATAAGGAATAAAATGAATATAATTTTAGTCTGTTTTATTTCTCACTGGGGAAAAATTATTTTTAAAACCAGTAGTCTCCAAAGTAGAGTGCACGGGTGGAAAATGATCCACTAAAATTATAAAGAAGGTCTACTTAAATTTTTATTTAAAAATAAGAAAAATTTAGCTTTGTAATACTTACTATATGAATTTTACTATATGGAAAACCATTAGTAACCTAACATAAATGTGTATAGAGCCATTGGGCATACTCAATTATATTAAAAAAATTATTGTTTTATTGCTGGAAGTATATAATAAAATTTGGATACCTTTGTTTGAAAGCACAGATACTGAGCCTCTAAAGATTTTTGGCCATTAAAAGATGACTATATGAAATTCTTTTTTTTTTTTTTTTAAACCAAGTCTTTTACCAAATGAAACTATAAATTAATACTGGTTCAAAATACTGATGTAATTTCCTTTAATCCTGGGCCCTGTTCATTATTTTCATTCCTAAATATATTTTTGTTAATCGTTTATTGATCTAGCTTTCAAGTAGCAAACTGATTTCAAGGGGCATAAGATATATTTGGGGAAATAAATCAAGGAACACTTAAGAACTTTGCATTGTATACATAAAATATTTTTATTCATGTAGAATTTTTAATAGCAAACAGCTTAATGTGTATCGGTGTGGGAAAATTGGAATACCTGCATTTGAAAATACTTAATGTTCCTTTTGTATTAACATGTTTTTGTGATGAAAAAACAGGCTTAAAATGAAGTTCAGGTAATGAAAACATGTTTAGATTTCAATATATTCCGTGCCTTCCAAGAATACTAACCTCGTAGGATCTTTTAAAATGTTTTGTTACAAAACAAATTTTATGTTACAGCATTGGAATGTATTTGAGTCTGATAAATTGCCAGATCTTTGGAAAAGTATGTCCTGAGGGCCAGTTCTGACCTTGCCTCTGACCCTTTAGCACTGACCCTGCCAAGATCACTAGTCTGCAGGATCTTCAAAGCAGTTTAGTTTAGGAGTTGATCTAGTAGGTAGATTGACCTCACTTTATTTGAAGTAGGTTAGGAGCATGTTGAAATGACACTCTGCTTCATTTACCTATTTGTCTATAATAAACCTCCCAAATCTAAAGCCTATAAAACAGCAACACCTTATTTGTTCATATATCGGTGGCAGTTGGTACTAAGCTTAGCCTGGTACTGGTCTGGTCTCGTGGCTTGGGATCTTTCTGTGTGGCTGCAGTCATCCATTGCTTTGATGGTGGCAGTATGTCTTCATTCCCTTGTCTGGGAGCTCAGATCAGATGGCTAAAGCAGCTGGGGTAATTGGCTCCTTTCTCTCTCACCATATTGTATCTTATCCTCAAGAAGGCTTGTCCAGGCTTACTCAACAGCTTAATCTCGGGGTTCCAAGAGGGTTAGAGAAACTGCAAGGTCCCTTGAGATCAAGACTCAGAAGTCACACAGTGTCACTTTGGCTTTATTCTGTTGGCTGAAGTAAACCGTAAGGACATCCTAGGTCCAAGGGGAGGAAATGGATTTCTCCTGTAGATGGAAAGATTGACTACATGGCCAAGTGACCTGCATCAAGGGATGGGAAGCATTCTTGTAGCTATCTTTGCAGATAATTCACTACACATTCCAAGATTTAATCTAGTTCTTTTTAACCCCTTGGAATTTCTTGGAATAGACACAACCCATGTTGCAGAAATTTTGTGCAGTAGGAAGAAACGTCTTTTTATCTTTAATTTTCTAACAGCCCACTGATCCAAGTAGGGGCTGGATCATAAGCCCATTGGGAGAGAACCCGTGGTGGACTTTATTAATAGCTGCCATTCCAGCTCTGCTTTGTACCATTCTCATCTTTATGGACCAGCAAATTACGGCTGTAATCATAAACAGAAAGGAGCACAAATTGAAGGTAATTCTAAAACTTTGCCTCAGGTCTGTAATTTCTTCAAGAGTTTGAGATATTTTCATAATGACTAGAACATTAAAATGTGTGAGATGAAAATTAATTCTTCCCTGTGTATAAAGTAATGTAGTATTTTAACCTAAAAGAACAGTTTTGACTAATAAATATTCATGTCATTTCACTTTTCAGAAGGGAGCTGGCTATCACCTTGATTTGCTCATGGTTGGTGTTATGTTGGGAGTTTGCTCTATCATGGGACTTCCATGGTTTGTGGCTGCAACAGTGTTGTCAATAAGTCATGTCAACAGCTTGAAAGTTGAATCTGAATGTTCTGCTCCCGGGGAGCAACCCAAGTTTTTGGGAATTCGTGAACAGCGAGTTACAGGGCTCATGATTTTTATTCTGATGGGCCTGTCTGTGTTCATGACTTCAGTACTAAAGGTAAAATCTCTTTACTGCAATATTTTAAAATCTTTTTTGTCATAAAATTATACTTGCTTGTATGAAAATGAAACATGAAAATATCTAAAATTAGTTTTCATTTCCTGGAATTTACTTGGAAAATAATATTCTGATAAATGGTATTTAATATAGGAGGCATTTCAGTGTTAGATGTGTCCATTTTAGAAATATTATAAAAGGATAGTATTAAAGACTATAGAGTTTTGGAAGGAGTTAATCCATGGCTTTGTTATGATCTAAAAGAATATACCCAGAGGATTTTATAGGCATCTTAGATAGTGAAATATGGTTGATATAATTATTTGACCAAAATGTGAAAATAATTGCTATTAATTAAATAAATGTATTATTTCTGATCAGCTAAATGAAGTAAAGGTAGTAGCGCTCATTAGAAAATAAGCACAGCTACTATAAATGAAGAATGCAAGAACTACGTTTAATGCAAGAACTTTAACTTTATGTTAAATATCTTTTAGTTACATCTGGTATTTACTATACATATCCTAATGGATCTAGTGATTAAAAAATATAACATAGCAAATGTAGCTAAGTATATAATCTGAGATTTTCAGTTCATCGTGGGAAGAGCTCTACTCCATTTTTTTCCTTTGGTGTTTTAGTTATTGAAAAAAAACTATTAAGCAAAGAGCTATGTACATTTATATATTGGGGAAGAAACTTGGAGTATGTATATATGTTACTATATTAACTAAAAAAATTAAAGTTGTATGCTAGACTTCTTTGGCCTTCATCTCATGAACTTTCTAGCAACGGACTAATTCACCAGATATTTGTTGAGTACTTACTCTGCTGTTAAGACTGGGGAAATAATAATAAATAGGATATATTATTGTCTGCTTTTCAGAACTTGGCAGTCTAGTTGGTGAAGCAGATAGGGAGGGAAAGGGGCATTTACTGCATTGTGGTGAGTGTATTGTTGGAAGTACTTGGCAAAAGAGGAGAAAGATTTAGTGCACTCTTTTGGGGATATTGTCCCCTACTAAGGAAGGTTGCCTTTAAATTAAATTTTTTAAGCATTGACTGTATATAGGCAGGAAATTCAAATAGAACATCAGAAAAGCCCTAAAATGAGAAGTTAGTCTTCCTATTTTCCGTTGCTTTCCAGAACCAACTCTCCAGAGTTAAATTCTTTTTAACATCTTTATTTTTTAAAGTTATATTGGTAGTTAGAACCATTATAGTTTTACATGCTTTTATAATTTTATTTTTTGCTTTATTATTATTACACTGAGTCTCTTTACCTAAGACAGTGATTCTCAAAGTTTAGTCTAAGGATGACCTCTGGGAGTCCACAGAACCAAAAGTATTTGGGGAGCATGTCCTCAGTTTATCTTTGAAGAACCTAGAAGGGTCCTGAGACCAAAAAGCTTGGGAGCCTGTCATGTAAGGTCGGATGTTTTATGAGGATTTAACACACTTATGTGTCCACCAGCCAGTCTTCCTTCCATCACCTGCCTTTGGTTGACTGTGTTTTTAGTTTTATTGTAATGGTTACCAACATTTGCATTCTATGCTGTAATTATAATTAAACTGTCCATGCTTTTTCTGTAAGTTAAATTATAAAAATGTAAGCCCTCTGGGAACACATAATTAGTATTATGATGATACGTATGTGTTCACTGAGAACTAAGCAATCTGATCTGCCTGCATGGAGGCAGAAATATACCCTATTTCACTAAGCTCCTGTTGCTGCTTGAAGAATAACTGCCCAAGCCTTAGGACCCAGTTAGTTTTCTTAGCACCTATTACCTATTACAGATATTAGACCTTCTGAATATGTTCTCATATTTCTATCCCATGTCTTCACTATTAATGAAAATTTCCTTTTTTTTTTTTTTAAAGATCTCTTTGGTCTCATCAAAATCATTATGACAAAATTAATTATTTTGATAATTATATGTTTAAATCTAGAAGGCTTTTTCTTTCTGATTATTTTTCCTAGCATTCTAAAGTTGATTTATGGTTAAAATATTTTCCTAAAATTTCCTGACGATATTTATTAGATTTTTAACTTGTTTTCTTCTCTTCCTGTAGTACCTTTTCCTCCTGGGTTTCTTAGGAAGGACATGCTCATTTGTTCATAGAGAATGAATGTGGTTTTCCTCTGTAGCTGTTAGGTCTTGTTTCTTGTTTTTGAGTAGGTGGATGGAGCCTGTTAATGGCTTTCCCATAGGATGCCTAGGCATGGTAGATAGGCAGTTGGGATCCCTCTAATTGCCAAAGTAGTAAGGACTTTCTTTTGGAGTGGAGTTCAGTTATTATATCAGTAAATGGTACTACTGTATAATAGTTACTGTATGGTAGTGATATCAAAATTAATGGCTAATGCCCTTAAAATTTTTTTTAATTAGGCTTTTATTTTAATTCCTGGTTAAAGCTTTATGAATGATTGATACGCACCATGTGCTTTTCTGAGTATTTTAGTATTTGAAATCCTTTAATCTTCATGCAATCTGTTATGGAAATTATGGCATAGAGAGGTTAAGGCTCAAGAAGAGGTTAACTGGCTTTTTAAACCAAGCAGTCTTGATTATAGTGCTCACATTCTTAACCACTGGACATTCTCCCGTTTAATGAAGAAAACATGTAGAAGATAGTTTTTCAAGGAGGCTCTTGTTTACTAGCATTTTTCTTATAGAATATAAGTGAGGTCTCATCACTGAAAGATCTTTTAATTCTACCTCCATAGGTACTTACTGTGTTTTTGTGTATTTTATTGCTATGAAATTGTTTTAGTAGCATAGGTTCTAACTGTGGTCTTTTTATTTACAGTTTATTCCAATGCCTGTCCTGTATGGTGTTTTCCTTTATATGGGAGTTTCCTCATTAAAAGGAATCCAGGCAAGTCTTAAGTAGTTAATAATTTTGTAGAGAAACTTAAAACATATTTTACATTTGCAAAGATTGTTTTTATAATGGTAGTGATGTATTTATAATGGTAGTGATGATATTCTGGGAGGCAGGTTAGCTGATGACTTCAAATTCACATTTTCCAAGTGATTATTGCTTACTACACATTTTTCCCCTCAAGAATGAGATCATGACTTTTTTTTTTATATTAACATATAATGTATTATTAGCCCCAGGGGTACAGGTCTGTGAATCGCCAGGTTTACACACTTCACAGCACTCACCATATTACATACCCTCCCCAATGTCCACAACCCAACCACCCTCTCCCTGCCCTCCCCGCCAACCCTTAGTTGATCATGACCTCTTTTTAATAGAAGCCAGTGAAAGGCCTTATAACTATTGATAAAGACTGATATAGTAAGAGGGGGGATGTTGAGGACTGGAATGGTTAATACTTGCCATTTGTGCAGTGCATTACAGTTATAAACCTAGTACACAAATTATTTTCTGTGATTTGCAAAACAACTTTGTTAGGCAGGAAAGGAAGAAATACTAATTTTGTCAACTAAGAAACAGAGGGACTTATGGACTGTTCTTAATCAAGTAAGCAATGGAGCCAAGGTTAGAACCCAGTGATTTCCCTACTCTCTTTGTCTTGTTTATAATAATTCCTGGAAAACAACCTGATAAAATTTATTTAGTTCTTTGTGTAAAACATTTGGCTCCATAAGCACTGTTAGCACCACGTGGCCACCACCTATCATGGAAAGCATATTGTCTGATGTTGCCAGCTAAGGCTGGCAAGGCTTCACAGAGATTGCATCTTTTTTTTTTTTTTTTTCCCAGTAGTCTTGGATCTCCCCTCCACTGGTCAAGAAATGATCTCATTAACTCACTTTATTTTTTTATTTTTTCTTTTACAACTTTCTTTTATAATTTTGTGAGATCTCACTCCTGGTTTATAAATGAAGAAACTAAAGTTCAGAAAGACCAAGGAATTTGCTCATAGTTTCCTTTGCGTTGGGAGGAACTTTAATAATTGTGACTTAAGGCTATTTTATAGCATTGATAATGTTAGAGTTGGAAAGAACCTTGGAAATTGTTGTTCTTTTACTGTAAATATTAGAAAACAAGGTCAAAGAAAGTAAATGGCTTATGCAGTTGATTATAGCAAATAAGCATATCTAAATATTTTAATCCCCCAACTTAAGACATTTTGGTTTGAGTTTTCTGATTAGATTAATTGCATGAATTTAGAATGATTGCCCTGATTTTTGCCCCTCTCCTCGGGTCCAGATATTCTGTATTGCAGTATTCTCCTGTACTTTCAGAACGTATTAAGGAAGTTACAGTTTAAATCACAAAACTCTAAGGTTGTATATAATTTCCTAAGTAGCAGAAATGATGCTTTTGTTAAAAACTTTTTCTTGCTTTGTTTTGTTTTCCATTCAATACGTAGTTTTTTGACCGTATAAAATTATTTGGAATGCCTGCTAAGCATCAGCCCGATCTGATATATCTTCGTTACGTGCCTCTCTGGAAAGTCCATATTTTCACAGTCATTCAGCTCACTTGTCTGGTTCTTTTGTGGGTGATAAAAGCTTCAGCTGCTGCGGTAGTTTTTCCCATGATGGTAAGGCTTTTTTTTTTTTTTTTTTTTTTTTTAATTTTTTTCATACTTTGTCACTAATTAATAACACTCTATGTTTCAACAGTATTTTACTTTTCTCTTAGTAATATAATAACATACTAGTAATATTTGTATTTGAGAAAGGGAGTAGCCCACCTTAAGTACCTTAGGTGTTTCAAAATATGAACTGGCCCTTTCGTAGCTATTAAACTAGTCACTTTAGAAACTGAATTCGCTTGTTATTTTCCACATTTTTGTTTGTTTTTTAGTCCCTGGGCTACAGAATGTTGTTTTGTATTTTTTTTTTTTTTAAAGATTTTTATTTATTTGACAGAGCACAAGTAGGCAGAGAGGCAGGCAGAGAGAGAGAGGAGGAAGAGGCAGGCTCCCTGCCGAGCAGAGAGCCCGATGTGAGGCTCAATCCCAGGACCCTGGGATCATGACCTGAGCCGAAGGCAGAGGCTTTAACCACTGAGCCACCCAGGCGCCCCTTGTTTTGTATTTTTAAACAACTTTAAAGTTTAGGACGTTTATGGAACAAAGATGATAATTAGATATAAAAAAGCAAAGCAGCTAGAACAGCATAGTTCTTTAACAAAATGTTTCAATACATCTTTCTCAGAAATTAACATCTAGAAGTTAAAAAATAATAAAAATTTTAGGTAGTATTAAGAAGACAACATTGTTCACTAAATTATCACAGAATATTGAATTTTGCAAACAGAGAATATTCATCCTTCCGTAAATTCCATGTAAACACTGGTTATGTATTTGGCCACAGAGAAAGTCTTTAAAAATTAAGAAGCTATAAAAATTATGCAGGTAATTACATTTCCTGATCACAAATAAATTACAAATGAATAATGAAAAGCACTAAAAACATGTGAAGTATTTAGACATTAAATGCTGAAATAATCCCTGGGTTGAAAACTGAATTAAAAAAACATTGTGGGTATTGCAGCAGAGAATTTGGAACAAAGTCGGTGAGATACATCTAAAGTTCATAAAGAAAATGTATACCCTTCACTACATATATTATTCAAGAAGACTTTTTAAAAAATGCAACCAAATTTTTTATTTATAAAACTCAATAATGAATAAGCTCCTTTCAATTTGAGTAAAGAAGAAAAGGACAGAGCAAAATATATAAGATTAAGAAAGAGAAAAGAAATGTAATCACAGTATTGGAAGAGATTTGAGGGGCTTTAAGAAAGTACTACATGAATCTATAGAAGTAAGTTTGTACATCTAGTGTGGAGGTTGACAAACTATTTCTGTAAAGTGTGAAATATTTTCAGCTTTGTAGATCACAAGATATATAGGCACTTCTATAACAGGAGAGAAATTTCCACAATTTCTTATTGGTAAAATTTAAAAAGTAATTATACAGTTTTTTAAAATGAAAGACTTCTAATGAGAAGAATATAATTCTTTTTCATTTGAAGATATTTCACTGGGCTGAGGTTCAAAGTTAGTGTTCCCTATCATCAAATCAATTCCAAATGTGCATCTTTAAAAGCTTATTTTAGGTCACAGGCCATATAAAACAGGTAGGGCAAGATTTAACCCAGGGTCTGTGGTTAGTTTACCGCTGGTCTAGAGAAGATGGGTTATTTCCATTCTATACATACATTTCCAAGAATTAGCCAAAAGAGAAATAGAAAATTTATGGATCTGTATAACTCAGTTGCATACAAGAGATTGGAAAAATGGCCAAAGATCTGCCCTTGGATCACAAGGCCCAGTGATTTTAAAGAACAGTTAATTCCAGTACTTCTGGAATTATTCTAGGAAAGGAAAGGAAGAGATGGAAAAGTCTGCATTATTTTCTCATGAAATTCTAGCAAGATCTTAATACCAAAGCTTAGTAAAGTTGTAAAAAGAGTGATGGTGACTTCTCACTTAACTAATATAAGTCCAAAAAATCTTAAGATATTAACAAATAAATTTTTGTGTTTCATTAAGTAAAATATGATTAAATAGAGTGTGATACTTCAGCAGCAAATAAAAAATACCAACATAATTAAAGATAGAAAGTCTTATAAAATTGTAGTCATTGTGCATAAAAATTTGTAAATAAATTCCAATATAGGGAAGCACACTATTACTGTTGTTATTTGATATGAACTGAAGGTTCTAACTGTGATAAAAGAATAATATAATATTTGTTATAAGGGAGAGGTAACATCATTTGTAGATAATATGATTGTTTGCCTGTTAACTCAAATAACTCAAATGAAAAAAGACTAAAAGCCCTAGTAGAATTAGCAAGAATTTTGTTAGAGTGGGTGGTTACAAGAAAACTGATTGACGTACCAAAAGAAATTTATTATATGATAGCTTTGGATGCTGGAGGTTTGCAAGGAAGGTGTGGATGGGGCCATGCTCCCTTTGTAACCTGTAAGGGAACTCTTTTGCCTCTTCCTAGCTTCTGGTGGTTTGCTGAAAGTTTGGCATTGTGTTGCAACTGTGTAACTCCAAACTGGCACCTTGTGATGTGGTCTGTATATCACTGTGTCTTTATGACCATTTTATTAAGACCCTGGGCATATTGTATTAGGAACCCACCCTACTTCAGTATGACCTCATCTTAATTATATCTCCAACAACCCAATTTCCAAATAAAATCATATTCTGAGGTACCAGGGGTTAGGATTTCAATGTATCTTTCATGGGGGACACAATTCAATCCATAATAATGTTGTGAAGTACATAAAATTTAGATCTGAACAAAGGGGAAGATATATCATATTCTTTGTGCATACTTAGTATTGTAAAAATGTCACTTCCAAGTTTGAATTTTATGAATTTTATTTACATGTGTGTTTGTGTGTATTCAGAGAGGGTGTTGTCATTGTGAACTATATACATTGAGTATATAGTCTTAGAAGATTTGACTGTGTATGGGAGCTAAGGTTGCTTCTGTAACCGATACCATATTCAGAAAGAAACCATAAATGAATTGAAGATTTAAATGTTAAAATGTAGTAGAAATTTTTGAAAAATATTTATGTAGTCTAGTGATGGGAGGGTATCCTTTCAAGAGGATAGGATAACCCAGCTGTAAAGGAAAGATCTATTTGACCACATGATAATTAAATGTTTTATATGGACGTAATAAAATCAGATTGTGAACTAGGAGAAAGTGTTTGTAACATACAGGGCAGATAAAATGCTTCTATCTGAACTACACAGAGCTCTCATGAACTCATGAATAAAAATCATAAAAGACAATTGAAAACCAGGCAAAAGATAGTAATAAGGAAAATGGTAAGAAAAGAAGAAACCAGTGGACATTTGAAAACATCTTGAACCTTAGTAGCAGTTAAAGGAAAACAAATTAAAGTAATGGTGTATCTTTTTCACGTATGTAATTGGAAGTCTAAAGCCATTATTGGCAAATGGGTTCTCTAATGAATTGCTCAAGAGATTTTTAAATTTATTTCAATTTGGGGGCGACTGGGTGTCTTAGTTGGTTAAGTGTCCTACTCTTGATTTTGGCTCAGGTCATGAGATCGAGCCCTACATTGGGCTTTGTGCTGGGCAGGAATGGCGCCTGCTTAACATTCTCTGTCTGTCCCCCTTCCCCCCACACACTCTCTCTCCTAAATAAATAAATAAATACATACATACACACACACACACACACACACACACATATCTGCTTATGTAATGTATATAGTTTAAGGTCATCATAAAAATTAATAATCTTATACTGTGAAGATACCATGCTTAATCTGCTTTATAATTTTATGCAGAATGTATGGGATTTATATAGGAAGAGGTTAAAAATGCCATTTCTTTTATATGTTTTCTTTGAGCTGGAAGCTTGAAAGATAAATAGGTGACTCAGTTCCTTTGAAATAAGATGGTATATAAAGTGATTTTTTAAAAATTTACTTGAGAGAGAGGGGAGGAGGCAGGGAGGGACAGAGAGAGACTTTAATAGACTCCTTGCTGAGGGTGGAACCCCAGTCAGGGTTCGATCTCATGACCTGAGCCAAAACCAAGAGTCCTGATAGCTTAATCAGCTGCACCATGCAGGGGCCTCTGAAGTGATTTTTAAATAAAATACACAAAGTACTTTTTTGTTATTTGTGATTTGATACTTTTTCTCTCTTTAAATGACATAATTTGTATATTTTTAGATGTTACTTAATATGTTTCTCCCCCACTTTTTTAAGGTTCTTGCATTAGTCTTTGTACGCAAACTCATGGATCTGTGTTTCACAAAGAGAGAACTTAGTTGGCTTGATGATCTCATGCCAGAAAGTAAGAAAAAGAAAGAAGATGACAAAAAGAAAAAAGAGAAAGAGGTAAAAAGACCAGAATTTCAGATTTATGCTATTCATTTGTTTAATATTTCGTATCGAGTAGCTGGCCCTCTTATGGTCACTTTACAGGAATCCGCTCCTTTGATCCTCCTAAGAACCTTATTATTATGAAGCGTAGGTACTTCTATTATTCCCACTTTACAAATAAGGAAACTGAAGCATAGGTTAGTAGGGAACTGGTTTCAAACATTAGCTCTTAATCCATTTTACCAACTTAAGTTGCCCCTCCAAAGCCTTGACCCAAAAAAAAAACTTCCAAAAATTATATATCACATGTGTACTTAATTTTAAAAGTGAGAGAATTTAGCAGTCTTTAAAACATAGGTAAAGTTTAAAGCATAGGTAACACAAGCACATTAAATACATAAGCACATTTTACTGTACATTTTAATTTTAACATTTTAATAATCTGACATATACATAATGACAAAAAGGACTTTAAATTTAATCTTTTTACAGAAAGTAGTGTTAAACTGTAGTCTTAATTTGCAGTATTATGTACCATTAGTTATTTTGTATACAGAGATTTACATGAATATTTTATTCTGAATCTGATTTTTTAAATAACCAGCTCAATGCTGTTGCTTAGTAAAAAGGAAAAGTAGACATGTAGCAAGTTCACATGTAGCATAGATGATTGTATTGAGTACAATTTTAGTACCCGACTCCGTTTTCCCATTAGAAAGAGAATATTGCTTGAAATTCAAAGATAAGAAGAAAGATATATATTTTAAATATTGTGGTCCTGTTTAAATAGGGATCTCAACATTACTTTTCCCCCTAATTTTTGAGAGAAGGCAACATAATTCATACCTTATTATATTGTATAGTATTTATGGAAATGGATTTGTTAAAACTTAACAGACAACTGGGTTTAGGCCTTGGTATTTTTTTTTTTTTTTTACATAGTTTGGATTGATTATTCAGTACTAATTTATGGCACAGTTGCTGGTTTTTATTTTTTAACAGAAATTATGACTCTTTATTTAGGATACTAACTGAAATATGTGTAAATGTTTATGAGCTTTGGTGAATTTTCAAAGAGGATGCAATTCATTCATAAAATACTTAGGTTAAAATTACCTGTTTATTATTTTCTGCATTAAGTTAGAATAAGGTTCAGTTTACATAGCAAAAGACAAAATTAAAGGAGGCCTCAACACAAGTGTTTATGCTCTCCTATAGAAGTCTTGAGAAGAGTGAGTTGTCTGGAGAGCCTGTGCCGCTTTCCCCCCAGCTTAGGCACACAGTTTCCAGTCTCAGAATAGCCTCATAGGTCAAAATGAATGCTGAGCCTGAGCCCTCATGCATTAAAGATGGCAGAAAGGATGGGGTGAGAAAGCAAAATGGGTTCTCCCCTGCTATCCTTATTTTTTAAGAAGTCTCCAGAAATGTCATCTAGTAAGTTCCACTTGAATCTCATGGCCACGTGGAGTTACTACAAATGCTGGGAAATTTAGCTCTGGTTTTTTTTTTTGTTTTTTTTTTTTTTAATGATTATTTTTTAAAAGCTGGGCATATTGTCACCTACAAGTAGTGGGATTTCTAGTGGTAAGAAAGAAGAGTAGATGTTCTCCCAGTCCATCCTGATGTGTCCCCAGTAATTACGATATCATGATTTTAGGTCATGTCTCCAGTATATGTTTTTCTCCACCTGGAGCGACATTTCTCCTCAGGGTTCATATTTCTGTGTTTGAGAAACTCTTGATTGTCAGAATTGGATGGGCATCTAGTGGACAGAGGTCTGGGGTGCTACTGAATATCCTATATATGCAAGACTTCACCTTACTACGAAGAATTGTTTGGCCCTAAATGTCAGTATTGCTAAGATTGAGAAACCCTGCCTCATCCAAATGAGGTTTTGCTTATATTGTATTGTAATGAAAGCCATCAGATTTTACAAAATTTTATCTTACTATATACTAATAATTGATAATAAAATTTATGTAGTTAAATTAGTTTTAACGAGGTATTCATGTAACTGAAAGAAATGAAAGTTATAACCATTTAAAATTTAGCCTTTACAAGTAGTTGTTTTCTTTTGTGCTGCCAGTATGTGTTTATAGTTGTAAAAGGAATTTTTCAGTCATGACAAATATGTTTAAATATATTGTCAGTTTGGGTTTCTAATTCTTGAAGATGTTAGGTATTAATTGGTCCTTGTGAAAATATTCTGGGAAAAGTAATTTTTTCATGTATGTGCTCTGAAGGAAGCTGAACGAATGCTTCAAGTTGATGATGACACCGTGCACCTTCCATTTGAAGGGGGAAGTCTCTTACAGATTCCAGTTAAGGCCCTAAAATATAGGTGAGATAAAACTTTATCTTGTAAAATGTGTTTTGTGCACATGTCAAGTACATGAATAAGCCATGTTAATGCTTTGTTAAAGTAGTGATCTCTGTTTTTAAAAAGATGACAAAACCAATACCTGGCCTAATGTCAACAACTAAAGGAGGTCTTCGGGAATTTGAAAGGGAAATCTCATGGTCCTTCCCCTCGCAGGTTTGTAGGCAGGAGGGAAGAAAAAGCTTGACTTGAACCAGAGCCTTAAACCAACTTCCATGCCAAGCAGACAAGAGTATTTGTGTTGCATCACTCCTGTTTGAATGAAGTTTAAAATCAGTATAGCTTTCCCTCTCTGTCCTTTATTAGGTCTGCATCAGTGTGTGCTGGAAAATTAACCTTTGTAACCCATTTTCTGATAACTTTCCAAATTGTGACTTGACCATTGGCAGTGAGTGTGCTCCTATTATGAAAAAGTTGAGTTCCATATATAGCTTATTATGTATGACTTTGTTGATTTACATGTAAATTTAAGAACTAAAGACAGTGGTAAATTCTTGTTTACCTTTTTGTAGTTTTAAAAGATTAAAAACCTACATTATTTATGTACATATCTGATTCCTAGTTCCACATTTTTTCTATTTCTAATTAGCTATTGATAGTAGAAAAGTCAGTTTTAGAATGTATATAGGTTCCTTCTCTGACCAGTTAATGGAAAAGGTTTGTTGGTATTTATTAGCTTTGGGTTTGTTTTCATTTTTAATGAATCTTTATAGTTTTTACAGAGGTCTTACTTAGACTTGTACATGTTGATTAGTTTTGATAAATGAATTCATCAAGTAATATTCCTTTATACTTTTTACTATTAATTTTCATCATTGGTATTACTCTGTGTCACCTTTCAAATCTTTCTTATATAATATACTTTAAACTAAATGCCAAATACAGACATCTTAATATACACAGCTATAATGCTCAGCTTTGCTGGATTCTATAAATGTTCATTAAACGAGTTAATATATTAACTTTGTTGTACTTAAAAAAAGAGTATAGGAACTGCCATGATGGTTATTACTGACTCATCAATTTGTTGAGATTATTTGTCACTTAGTTTCTATAGGTCCTGCATTATCACTTTCTCAGTGTGATTATACACAGGCCTTGACAAATTTAAGTGGAATGTATACTTACACAATCTGATGTTTAACAAAAAGAATGATGATCTCTATTTACTTTTGTCTTTTTAAGTGATGACATAGGCCAAGATAAAGGCTGCTTTGCTTAAAATTTGGACATTAAAGAATGCCAGCAATTGGCTGACCTGTTTATCTGTCCTAATTTAAAATCTTAAGTAGCTTTGGATTACTTGCCATGTAAATCAAATGAGATAATAAAGAAAAACATTGGGAAACTATAAAACTCCATAAAATATGAAAGTAATTGATTTAATATAGACAGAATTTTTTCACCCCATCTCGTTTTATTTTGGGGAAGAAAACAAAATGTACTATTTTTTTAAAAAAAGGTTTTGATTTCTACTAATGGGAAAGTTCTTAGAGGGGGACATTTGAAGCTAGAAAGTGCTTCAGGAATATCTCTCTTCAGTTATTTGAAGTTGGCAACCAGCCACAGACACATTTACTCAGAGTAGATAGTTTCCAATTGGTGGACTCTGTCCTTGTGAATCTGAGCATTCAAATTTTGTACACTTTAAATAAACTGACCTGGTAAACCACCTTTTCTAGAGATTCTGCAGGGACATGTCACATTTCTCAGAAGCCTTATATTTTAAACGACATTTGAATTTAAGATGTGAACAAAGCTAACACTCTCTAAAATTACTGCCATTTAGTTATTTATCATGTAGCTGCCATTGCATTGTGAACTTAAGGCCTAATTTGACATTTGAATTTGTCACTTGTATGAATGAAATATTACTCTTCTGGGGAGGAAAAAGGACTTGCAAATATATTTCTATTAACTTCATAGTTAATAACTGACAACCTTGAGTCCAAAATTATTTATGGATATCATCATTTTTGAATTTGTGGTCTCAAAGGAATTTTGCAATATTTTATAGAGACAGGGAACGATTACTTTTATCCCTTACAATGAAAGGACAGTATTTTGTTCTTTTGATTCTGATTTTGATAAATTTGATTGGCTAACACTTTGAAACTAAAACGTGAATGTCAGCTAAAAGTGATATATTATAAGTCTGTTTCTGTGTTATCTGTTCAAATATTTTCAGAACTGTTTTTAAAGTGTCGCCTTTTCCATCATTCATTTTAATGATTTTTTTGAACTATTAAAAACTAGTTTTTGGGTTTTTTTTTTAAAGCATGATCTTAAGTTTTCCTTATGTGCTTTGGATCTCTAGTTGATGAGGTTGAAATTTATCCTAGTTATAAAAGTTTTCTAATTGACTGAGGCTGTATTTTTTTATATGTAATGTATTCTTTTGTTATTTCAATAATATGAGTATAGCCAAGATGATCATCTTTGGGCTTCACTGCCAATTTAATTAATCTTAACTCCTAGTTTTGGTTATATAGAAGGACGTAATTCCCCATGAAACCTTTATAACAGAACTCCGAAATTCTGATGTTTTGTTAGACCTTGGTTTAAATGCATGACAAAGAGTTTTCTCAATTTCAAAATTGATGAAGACAAATATTAATAAAGAGTGACAATATTAATGCTTTTGCAAGTACTGAATACTAACCAAAAAGTGTATTTGTTCTTCAGTGTTGATCCCTCAGTTGTTAACATATCAGATGAAATGGCCAAAACTGCACAGTGGAAGGCACTTTCCATGAATACTGAGAATACCAAAGTAACCAGATCTAGCACGAGGTAGCTGTAACTCTTTATGCATTTTCTAACTGTAGCCAATTTTTAATCGACTTATGGGTAGATAGCTATTTCATAAAACCATTAAATGTAACTAAATTTGCATAAGTTATATTCTCTTAACAAAGCCAGCCTTCTTCTTTTCTTCCCCTCTTCCTTTTATCTGTCTATCCATCATTTTGCCGAATACTGGAAATCAGATATAAATGCCGATTGGTTACTTTTTAAATTCATAATTGCCTATTTCCAAAAAGAATTTGAGCCATTTTATAATAAAAATGAATATATACATATGGCAGTATGGAATAAGTATATAAAATATCAAAACTATATAAAGAAAGATAATTACTAGGGGTTATATAAATACTCTTTAAGTGAACACTACCTCAATCATGCTTTCTGATGGTCCGAGAAAAAAGATAGACATGACTGTTTTCCTTGTTTTGCTTTAGCCTGGCATTTCTTCAGATGAGATAAACATTTTCCTAGAAGATAGTTGGAAGAAATTTTTAATCCATGGATATAAACGCCATTTGGTTTTATAATGGACCACGTATTCCATGACAATTTTTATAACTCCTCTCTTAGATTTCTTGTTAGGAATCCATTTTTTTTTTTTTTCTTTTTACGCTCACTTCCAAGGCCTGAATCTAAGGGATTCTAGTTTGATAACCGTTACTACTTTAATCCCTTGGGTCTGTGGAGAAATGAGGTATTATCCTGTAGTGCATGCAGTCATTCATATTGCACAAATACTCTGTGTGCACTTTGTGTCAGACACTGTTGGGTGTCTGTATACTCTGCTTGGACATCAGATCAAAACTTTTTTTCTGGGCAAATGGTCACTGGCTGCTTCTGATTGATTAGTTACTGTCTTTCTGGCCACTGTCTTTTGATAGTAATTAGTTAGGTCTTATTCATTCCTTCCTCACCTCTTCTTAGAGCTTTGCTCCTACTTAATCTCTATTATCCCCCCCCCAACTTTTTTTTTTTTTTTTTTTTTGTTAAATCACTTCTTGCCTTCTGATTTTTTAAGCTGGACTATTTCCCTTTTTCTGTCTTTGATCTTAAAAGTTTTTAAAAATTAACTCTTTGTCATTTTGATTATTCCATGAGGCTAGAATTTAGCTTAATGCTCTTTTTACTCTTAATAATTTTTCACACTTTGTCAGCACTTGTGGCCCAGATTATTAGTATAGTTGCAAATGTAAAGACCTTATAATAATATTATTGTATATTATACAATAATATAAAAGTATCTTTTATGCTTCTGCCTTTCATTGAGGTTGCCTCTCAATTCCAAATTACAGGGGAAGAAAAACAGTGTATAGGTTATGTCATTTAACAGAAAAAATGTTTGGAGGTCCTTCCTTCAGTCTTGTCTGGAGAAGGCAGCAAACCAGTGTGTTATACATTTGAAAAGTTTTTTCAAAACACAGATATTCATGTGTTACAATTAAATTAGTCACTTAAATCCATGGACATGAAATCATTGTATTTGATATAAATTTGAAAATATAGAATATATGTGTTTTGATTTTTTATTTGTAAACCAAATTTGGTGAGAGAAAGTTTATAAATTTGTTACATTTTGCAGGAAATTATTTGATGCTTATCTATATTAACAAAGGTTGCTTTTTTAATGGATTTGTCAGTGAAATGTTACATGCTACAACTGTTTATTTATAAAATAAAACTAATAAATCAGACTTAGTCATATAATGACTAATTTTAAGAAACTCCTCTTCAGTTGTAAAAAAAAAACCATGAATTTCAGTGGCAAGCATATCCATTAAAAAAACTAAGAATTTTTAATATTTGTCTTTCCAATCAAATTTATTGGTAGGAAAAGAAAGCAGTAAAATAATAATAGTGAATCACATGTTTATAGTATTAATAGTAATTTCAAAAGGCTTATTGTGGATACTAAGTGTTGGCCATTTTTTGAAAGTAATAAGAATCATTTATTCTCATTCCTTGTTTTAAATAGCCCTGAAAAACCTGTGAGTGTGAAAATAAATCTTGAAGACGAACCAACAAAGAAATACATGGATGCTGAAACTTCGTTATAGTATTGAACCAAGAGGAATTATATATATAGCTATACAGATATATATTTTATTTATATATATATATGCATATATATATATATATATATAAAATGTGTGTATTTCATGTCATTATATATAACAATATTTTAAGTCATGCTGTTTATGCGTGGCTCCTGGGTTTTTGAAGTAGTGTCTAAAGTTTGTTAGGAACACCATGGAGACTGTGTATATAATGAAATGGTCTCTTAGAAATGAGGTACATGGTTCTTACTAATCAAATATTTATTCTGTTGAAAAAAAAATTTCTGTTCTGCAGTAGAAAGATGTGGGGAAATGCATTCAATCTACTTTTCCTTTTAATCTATTTGTTCATCAGTGGTAATTCATACCAACCTTATGTGATGTACTTTGTCCATATATTTATAATTTTTACTTGAGCTACTAAAAATTTTTACATATTATTTCACTTTTGTTCTTTATGGGAAGAACAGGGAGTCTTTATGCCATTGTTGTGGACAAATGGTAACATGTCATGGCTTCTCTGTATGTATGTTTCATTTATGCAGATGTCCATCATGTTTCACAAGCAGTGGAGAGCTTTTGGCTCTAACGGTAGAACAATAGAAACTGTCTAGATAAGAACTATAGTCTTGACCTTTGTGTCTTTAAAATTTATTTTAAATCTTAAAAAATGTCCACATCCAGGTTTCTATTCGAATAGGCAAGTAAAATTGCAGGTGATTTTATAATTTAACCCCATACCAGTCATAACTTTATGGATTTTAGAAGCTGTAAAATGCCAGTTGATAATAGTTAAATTTTGTTGCCTTTGTAGAATTTTTTTTTTGAATCCTAATGCTTTATAAGAGCCCAGAATGCTTCCTCTGTTCTCTGCCTTTGCTGTCTTTTACTTAAAATATGGTTAAGTTTATATCAGGTTCAAGTTCTTGATTATTTTTCTATTACAAGTAATATGACTAAATAATCAGGAATCACAATTCTTCTAATGGGTTTATGATCAGTATTACTTTATTCTAAAGAATTACCTTTCATTTTCTTGTTTACGTTGTTATTCTTTCTATGGTATAGATAATATTTAATAGATTGTTATCTGTGACCTATTATAAACTATTTTATTTATTTTCATTGATATGATACTTAGATATATAAACATTTGAAAAGGTAGCAAATACAGAATAATTTAAATTGTTAATGTAAATAGTTGGTGCTCACTTGCATTTATGGTTTATTATCTTTGAAAGCAGTTGACAGATTTTACATCTTTGATATAAAGCACTGCCATATTTGTATTTTAAAAGGAATTTAAACATTTTATGTATAGCTCAGATTGATGGCATTCTTTCTAGTTTGTGTTAGTATTTGTTATTTAGTTTCTGCTTTTCTGAGCTATTTTTAACTTCTAGCAAATCTTTTTAGTCATCTTTTATAAACTCTTCGCTCTACATGAAATAAATGTTATTCTTGTTAAGCCTGTAGGACTGGATGAATGGGGTTGTGAAAGTGATTTGGCAAGAGGATAATTTACAAAAAAATGAGTATTGAGAAGCCACAGAAATACCGAAATTGTAACATGAATATTAGGATGAAAATTTTAATGAAATTCCAATGCTCCCTTTAAACATTTGTAATTAAAGTTCAAAAGTAGGAACAGTTGATCTTATAGAGTATCATGAGGAATGCCAAAAGCTGGTATTTTAGCAATTCTGAAGTGTTTTGAATCCATTGTAAACTGCTCGGTAGCTGATATAATTTCCCCATCTGAGACCATATTGTCTGATTCTAGTTAAAGAATTCGACTTCTGCCTCAAATGAGAAGTTGGAAATGTAGCTACTTTTCTTTAGAAAATAGAGCCGGCATCATTTGGTACTGCCTGAAAAAGAGTTAGACTCTATTGACAATTGATAATCGAGTATTACCCACGGTGCTTATTATTTTTTATGAGCTTCCACTGAAATGATTCCTATTATTCGTAGCAGCATAATCATTTCCAAAGACCCCAGTATTTGCTGCTATATTTTGTAAACTCCCCTGGTGTACCCGAACAAGGGGATTTCTTCACATCATTTCTTTGTGTCTAGACATCATAGGGTTAACAGATGTGCTTATTTTACAGGAAGGGATTTTAAGATTTAAACTGAGAACTACCTGGGATCATAGTGTTTATGTGATTTTATTTAATTATGTATAGTAATTGTCCAGTGCCAGAAAAACCATGACTTGCAAAATACTTTGCACTCAAAATGTTTTCACTATTTCTAATTGTTAATGGTTTCTGCTTTCTTTTGACTACTTGACTTACAAAATGATCTGATACGACTACTCCATTGAAGAGCAAAGGTAACTCATGTTTATTAAGTAATTAACTGCTTGTTCTACGTGGTTATAGTATTTTTCCACTATTTTTTAAAAAAATAACAATCATGGCTAGTGTTCATTGCAAGACAGTGAAAAATATAATTTCCTACATATATTAATTTTTAAATGTTGCCTTAAATAGGTATAAATGAGCAGTAATTGCAGTGTACTGATTTACCTCAAGGTGCAAAATAATTAAACCTGTACATATTCCATTTACAAAATAAATTAATATCAACAGCCCTGCACTTTCTTAGATGCCTTGGTTTCCAGGATGGAGCTTAGTGCTACTGAATACCCTGGCTACAGAGCCACCTCAGGATATTCTTCTCTCCACCCTATTTTATTTATTTATAGATGTCTGTTTACAGAGACTATAATAAATCCTGATGTTGACCATCTGAAATTTACCTTCTTTTGAATGCTATTTCACTCTAAAATAGCAGCTTTTGAGAAAACAATGAACGAACTTCCTTATGATAAAAGGATGATTCTTTCTATTCTCTTATATTAGATATGCTGAAGTGAAGCACACAGTCTTTTGTGTGTGTGTGTGTGTGTGTGTGTGTGGTGTAAGAGAGAGAGAGAGAGAAAATGATGTTTAAAATCTTAAATCTCTTCAGTTGTTGAAAAGAGCTGTGGCATATCAATGTTCATATTTGCCAAGTCTTTGTAAAACATGATGTGCTAATGCATGTATTTATAAAGCAGGTTTCTTTACCACTCAAAATTACTGATTTTTGTTTTCTCCATCCAAAAAGCATTTGTTTCTTCCTCATGCTTCAAGTTTATGTATGTATATAATGGCTTTCTAAGTTTTTCCTTTCACAAAGACAGGTTCAGAATTCTGTAAAACATAAAATGGTTTCTGAAACTGAGGTATTACACCAGAGCTTGCTGTATTTCAAGGATCATATCATGTGCATCAGTTCTTTAAATGTGCTCAACATGTGAATCCTGTTTTAAAGTGCTCAGATTTTGGATGTGTAAGCCATTGATATAACATTGTAATTCAAAAATGTTTAAATTAAATAACTTAATGTTTTAAATTTATTTATGTAGATTACATCATTGTTAATCATATATAATACAAATGTGTGAAATGTTTTTTGGTTTAGTCCAACAATTATTTATTTTTTAGAAAGTAAGCTTAAAGATTTTAAGGACATTGAAAATTAAAATAGTGTTCAAAATTCAAAATTTGGCAATTTTAATGTAAAGTTGGTTCTTTTCTAACATTATCAGAAAGTAATATAAGTATCAATAATAGGAAAACATATAGTTGGAAATGGAATCATCTAAAGGTCACTTTAAAACTTTAATTTAATTAGCACATACTGACTTCTACAGTTGACTTATAGTAATTGTTAAACCCCAGTGGTTTTTTAATCAGATTTTGTGCATTGATTGATTTTTGTGTTGTGGCTTTTCTTTTGTTGCTTTAATATTAAAAATCTGGGGGGATTTTTGTTTGTTTTGTAGGGGGTTATCTTCCAATGTTTACTATGTTTGAATAAATAGAAATTGAATTTTATTGTTCATTTATATAGTATTTGATAGCTTGGTATAATTTCACAGTACAGTTCTAATTTTTATGACTTTTATAATTACAATGATAATATTTTCTTTTGTAATAAAATCCAAGGTAAATTAAACATTTAAAATGTAGAACTGGTATTTTTCATTTATATGAAGTACAGGTCTCTACCAAGTCTATAATGTGAACAATTCTGCCTTTCAAATTTGTTTCATAACTGTTAGAAGAAAACTATTTTTTAGAGATGTTATTGAAGTTGAGAGCAATAAAAGTCTACTGAATTAGTTGTTGGATAATGTCTTTATTTTGTACTTTGATTATTAGAATTGCTGCCTATCTTTCTTATGCAGAGGAATGGGGGGATGAAGGAAATTAAGTGATTTCTGTTTCCTGCTTCCTAATATTCATATGCTTCAGGGAGGAAACAGAAAAGAAGATGAAGCAAAGTATTGTGTGTTTCACAATGACTTTTTAATAGTTAAGAAGTATCGAAATTAAAGCCCTTTCAGAGTAGGCTGGTCCATTATTTTCCCTTTAATAAGAAACAGCTTCTGATACCCCAACATGAACTTGATAACCTTTGGGAGTGAGAAAGGTGCTTAGAAGTTTAGAAATTTCATCTGAAAGTTTTCTGACATGTATTTTAAGAAAAAGTTTTTTGTCAATTTATTATTCCCATGTATAGAACTTTGAGTTTATTGTTTTTTTTTTTTTAAGAAGTTGAGAGGAAAGGAAATCTTACTCATTTTGTTTTATCTTGCTCATTAAAGCATATCTGATCTCTTGAGTATCAGTTAATTCTTTCTATGACTAACATATACATTTCTTCTGTTAGGCTTTGAATGAGAACATTCCTGATTGGAAAACCTTTCTTTCAGTTTCTGTGCTGCTCTTTTGGACTCATTTTCAGTTCTGCTTTTTCTTTAAATTGTCCTCACCTTCTGCCAGTCTACAGGATCTTTCTCATTCCTCTAGTGAAAGTGTGTGTACATGCGTGTTTAGATACCCTTTTTTAGTCCTGAGTATTTTAGAAATTTGGGCAAGGGATTTTGTCCTCTTGTTAATCCTAAAAATTTACACCTATTTTGGTGCCTGTTTACATTACTTTTATTTTTATTTTATTTTATTTTTTTCTTTGTGTTATAGTTCAGACATTCTGTTTTGCTTT